AGAAGAACGAGAAGCACGTGAACAACGTGAAAACTCTCCAATGGAAGTCGACGATCAACTCCGTCGGAATTTATTCCAATGGATATGTCATGCTCACCAGCCTGACCCCACTACGTACCGCGAGGCAATGTCTCGCCCAGATGCGAAACAGTGGGAGATCGCGATGAAAGAGGAACTCAAGTCTCAGGAGGAGAATTCTACATGGATTCTGGTCAACAGACCAAATAACCGGAGAATTGTAAAATGCAAATGGGTTTATGTGATCAAGCCCGACGGCCGCTACAAAGCACGTCTTGTGGCCAAAGGATTCACACAGATAGAGGGGATAGATTTTCAGGAAACCTTCTCTCCCGTCGCACGCTACGAAGCTATACGCTTCTTACTCGCACATGCCGCACTCGAAGATTGGGAAATCGAGGCAATGGATATCAAAACGGCCTTCCTGTATGGTGAGCTCGACGAGGAGATTTATATGGAACAACCAGAAGGTTTTGTGAAGAAAGGACAAGAAAAGATGGTGTGTCGATTGAAGAAGGCTATCTATGGCTTACGCCAAGCCTCACGCACCTGGAACGAGAAGCTACACACTACGCTACTCGAGAATGGATTTAAACGTACGCGCTCAGACGCTGGCGTTTATGTTTATCATCACGACAAAGTCGAAGTTTACCTTATAGTTTACGTCGACGACCTTCTACCAATGGGTCCAAGTTTACCCGAGATCCAACGAGTGAAGAAAGTTCTTGCAGAGAAATTCCAAATGCGAGATCTTGGAGCCGCTAGTACATTCCTTGGAATGCGAATCACTCGTGATAGAAACAACAGGTGTCTGGAGATCGACCAACAGTCGTATACCGAAGGAATCTTATCTCGGTTCCAGATGCACAACTCAAAACCTTGCCGCACACCGCTGCCTGAAGGCATACATCTCGAGAAGGCTGCGGAAACATATACCGCTACCGACGCACTCCGCCATCACTATCAATCCATGATCGGTAGTCTCATCTACTTGATGATTGGTTCACGACCCGACATCGCCTGGGGAGTCACACGACTCTCACAATACATGCAAAACCCTACGTCACAGCACGTGGAAGCCGCGAAACACATCTTCCGGTATCTCCGTCATACCACCGAGTATCGTATCCGATACTCAGGCTCAAATCAGTCCGGTTTGATAGGGTATTCAGACGCAGATTGGGGCGAAAATCGGGACAACCGGCGATCAACAACCGGTTTCGTTTTCTTGATGGCCGATGGAGCAGTCACATGGGCATCTCGGATGCAGAAGACGGTGGCAAGATCTTCGACGGAAGCCGAGTACATGGCACTCTCAGAGGCATGCTCTGAGTTAGCCTGGCTAACGTCACTCCAAAAAGAGTTAGGTTACTTTCCTACTGCACCACCACCTTTGGTAGCAGACAACCAAGGAGGAATCTTTCTCGCAGTCAATCCCGCTCACGACCGAAGGCTCAAGCACGTCGACATTCGATATCACTTCATACGCGAATACGTAGAAGAAAAACGAGTGGATATAGTCTACGTTAGTACGGACGAAATGATCGCCGACACATTGACGAAACCACTTGGTGCAACGAAATTCGAGCGCTTCTGGTCTATGCTAGGCTTGGTCTTCAGTAGATTAGGCAATAACTAGTCGAGTGGGAGTGTCAGAACTGGGCGATTACGTCATTGCCCTGTACGGACTAATGGGGATACATCACATGACCCCCGATTATGTTGTAGTAATACGGACTAGATTACTCATGCTTACTGTACACGCTTACATACAGGTAGTACCATAGGTCCCTTAGCGGTATCAGGAGTCCTGACTCTCATGTATATATACCGGCCTTGTAGCACAGAATACGATAAGAGTTCAGTCGCACTTTAACATTGTGGCGTCGCAGCGGTTCCGGCGCTTCTCTCACGAGGTCTACAAAGCGCACACAATATTGACGGTGGCAATCCAGCTTCTATGAGCATGTGTTTAAAATGCGTTCATTCCCGCCTCGCCTCTAGATTTGTGCGACAGGAAACGTGCGGTTTGAATCCGCTGCATGTGTCTTGTCTCGTTGACTAGAGGTACAGAGACTCGGTCTTCGCAATCCGAGGGCTTGGTTTAGGATCTGTTTTCCCCGCCCGCCCCAAGGAGAAGTTGCCTGCAATCCTGAAAATGGTCGGTATGATCTACAAATCTCCTTCAGAATACATTTTGGCTCCTGTATCTTCGCATGACAATAGAGATCACAAGTGTGGCTGCACCATGTGACTGGTCTCGTGCTCACTCACGGGTCATGAATGTGGCAGTACCACTGACTGTACAGCTTTTGCCACTACGTCGACGGCCTGTTCGTCAGAATCGCTCTCAAGGGTCGCCCTTAGGTTCTTCGAATCTATTAACCACGGGCTGTCCGCGGCGAAGTTCGTCATCGCCTTCAACTTCCACATCAGCTCGTTGAGATGTGAAAGGCTGTCCAGAGACTGCATTCTTTGGGAGATTGCTCGAGTGCAGGCAGTGCAAAGAGCTTAATCATGACGCATCGCGAGAAGAGGTAGGGGTCGTATACTAGGAAAAGGGCAGTCTCAAGGAGCACGAGCTCGACAGATGCATGCGAAAGCTGGAAGATGCCGGCGCAGACTTGAACTTGCTTTATGCGTGTGTTATCTACTCCACCTGTATTAAACTTAGAAAGGCGTTTCGAAACGTGGATGCTTGCATACAGGCACGATCGCTGAGAAAAGATCAAGGTTGGAGTGAAGGCTGAGTCTGATGAACGCCGGAATGGAATGGAACGCCATAATATAGGTGGTATGGAAGAGCGGACGGCGCTATGCGAAATGGGGTCGGAATGGTTGGAAGCAGGGAAGCGCCATCGGGAGAGTGAGCTCTCTACTAGGAGACGCCCCATTCACCGAGATACACAAGACGGCATGCGCAATGTACGGAAGCAATAGCGCGTGACCGGCGAGGTCATACAAGCTTGATGACACTGTTCTGCTGAAAGCCGTGCCGCGCAGAACGAGCTCGAGAATTTCGATGTTCAGAAGGTAATAGGGAACGCTGCCTCGAAGATGGACGCGGCGCGCCAGCCTGGAAAATGCGGTAGCTCGTACATAATCGAGAGAGTAACAAAGGCATGCATCAGGATTGAGACTCAGGGGTTGCAGGGTCCACTGACTGCGCCTAGTCCGCCCGCCGAGTGCAGCTAATTGGGTCTTCAGACAGCCAGATCCCGCCCAGTCGCGCACCAACGCGCGTGGCGAGCCGATCATGACCTCCTCGGCCGCCACGCGAATGACAAGAGTACTGACCATGTATTTCGTCCACCCAGTACGATGTACACGCTTGACCACCTGCGTCTCGATGTACACCTGCTACACATGCTGGCAGTATATCCCCCGCGACGCGGCGGTAATGTTCCTAGGCCGCCCAATTATCTTAGCATCGAAGGACAAAATCCTTGGAATTATCGGCACTTACGGGCCACACGTACCATACTTGATCTTCGCCCGGTTCTGGCTCGCCAGCTTGTACTTGATCTCCATCAGGTTCGGGCTCTCAGCTCAGACTCTCAGCGGAGTATAACAGCGTGAACGGCGACTTGAAGAAGGTGAGAAACTTCGAAGACTTGGCGTACAAGCGAATTTGCAGTCTCACCTATTAGCCTCGATACCCCCATAGTCGCAACAATTGTGGCGCACCTCATTTAAGATACAATTCAGCCTCGACGACACCTCCAGCAGCGGCAGCGTCGACGCATGTCTCGCGACGAGCGAAATAGTCTTCTGCTTCTTGTCCGAGTCCCGCTGCTTCCTCATTCCTGTGCTGACTCGCCCGCAACACGCTGTACTGTGCCATCTGCCTGCCCAATTCACTCAGACGATTACCCAGACTCTGCGCTCAGCCGACAAGCACGAGAGGGTTCGACTGCACGTAGTTCCAGAGCTGGCAACCTTGGTCGAGGATCATGGACATAAATGGTGTACAGTTGTGGGCATCATGAGGCTATCCAATGTCTGCCGGAAGAATGGATCACTTCTGGTAGATTGACGCGGGGATATTGAACGTTCTTGTGAGGACGAATGGGTGCTGTGTGAGAGCAAGCCAAATAGGATCTAATCTTGTGCGTTCATTCAGTGAGGCGGAGAGGTACTAGAAGTGGCGGGAGGACATACCGATGTCGCAGAGATTCCTCCAGCAAGTGTGTATCTCCTTTCGACACTACTTCCTACGCGCTTGGCAACCTCAGATGACTTCCAAAAGGTCAGGCTCCAGCTGGAAAAGAATGCCGCACAGCGTGGGGTCCTGCAAGGTCTACGGTGCGGTCGACAAGGAGCAAAGGGTCGGTATAGTTTGCGATGTGGATCTCAGATTCCATCATAATCCTCACGTGGTGGGGAGTCTGGACTCCGATCACCGCGAAGAACGTACGTGGCCTCACAGTTCCCGCGGTTGCCTCCCCAATGGACGCGGACGCGTGAAGAGACAATCTGTATGTATGGTGCGTCCAGGGTCAGAAAACGTCCTAGGACCAGTTTGCTCATTCTCGTCCTCCGAGTCTTCTTCCTCCTCTCTAAAATCTCCGTTATGTCCTCCATCATCGAGACGCGAGCGGCACCGCTATCACTGGGCCGAAGCTCAAGGAGACCATGGACAGCTCGTCCTTCCGGAATCGAATCCCACGCCTTCACGATCCAGTGCAAGCGCCAGCCGCCCTCGGGCCCGTTCTTCTGAATACACATACACCAAGCCGTGCAAGCACCGCCTGCCTGATATCACATAATTCCCCCGCCGTCGCATCGCCCTTTGGACTGCGACAGCACTCGAAACACCTCCGGGCCCCCGCTGCTACGGTCTGAAGGCTGTCTCGTCTTCGGCCTTCATATTTCGCCACTTGCACAAAGGTTCTCAGCGAGAGTGTGGCAAGACCGCGGCAAAGGCGCGGTTCCTTGTCCATCTTCCCAGCCAGATCGACCCTTTCGAAGCTTTTCTTCGCTTTCATTACTATTGCTTACCTCCGTTGACTGCACGAACGATGGGCTGGCGCAGGACTCAGAGGAAGCTATGGAGCAGGACCAAGAATGCCGCCTACGCTCTGTCGCAGGCTCTCGACATGCTCAATCGCGCCGCCGTCTATCCCCCCGTGCCAGGCTTGCAGGCCGGTATCAGCTGTCCCTTGACATTGTCGGGCATGATCCAGGCGTGTGCTCAGCATGTTCCAATGAGTGCTAATTCTCATCTTCAGGCCAGATCTCGCGCGTGAATACCAGATACATCAGCAAGTTAACCAAGGACATGAAAGATTTGACCGAGACGGTGAACAAGTACACAGAACTCAACGGACAGGATAGATTACCTGAGGTGGAAACAGCGGTCAGCGAGATGCTCTCGTGAGTGTGTTTTTAATGGTATTGCTCGTGAATGCTCATACAGTGCAGATCATGGGATGCAATCAATGACCAGGCTGTGAAGATCGAGTCAGGGCGCAAACCGCTGAGGGTAGTAGATAATACCAAGGATCGTGACGTTAGAAGAGTCGCCGAATTCTTGCGAGATCTATCCCGAACGATCGAGGAGTTCACGGTATGAAACGTCTGTCCTTTACGGGGCAATTTCACAGGACACAGACTGACCCGCGGCCTCCACTAGCTCTTGCTTTCCCGTCTGATAGGTGTGTCTAAGACAGCCATTATCTTGACATATTGCGCGGGCTCACGCTATTCCTCCAGATAGCGAATTGTTTTTTCGCCGTTGGGAGTGGCTTCCCACCGAGCTGCGCAACTACATTTACGACCTCCTGCCGAGCATCAACAGCAAACCCGGTTTCTCAGCACTGTCCCTAGTCTCGCATGCCTGGTGCCGACACTTTCGTCCTCGCCTCTTTGCCTGGCTTACGCTGGATACCGAGGGAGACTGTCGCACACTATACGGCATAGCGCGGTCCCCGCTGTCGGCCTGGCTTGCGGAGCACATCGCCGTCCTGCATTTCCACGAGACTGGCCCTCGTGGCTATCCACTCTGGGCAGCTCTCCTCCGCCTCCTCCCCGCGTGCCGTTCCATCCTGCAAAGGTTCAGTGACAAGCCTGTCCGCGTGTCACTGTCGCACAGCGCAGCTCTGAAGAGCTCGTTGCGGAGCATCACCTCTTTGAAACTCGAAAATTGCAACTTCCCGTCGTTCCCAATCGTGCTCCGCATACTGGGCGACATTACCTGCCTGGAAAAAGTTCTCTTCGGCGGGGTCAGATGGTCGGGTGACCGACTCACAACAGCTGACGCCACGAGCAACGTCTGCACGGGTGCCTTCAGCCGTGTCCGCTCAGTCAAGATGTTTGGCTGCACGAACAACATTGCAGTGCCCGCATGGATCCTGGCCACCGCGAGCACACGACACTCGTTCACCAGACGTCGAATGGCAGGGCCAGCAGTCCCTGCAGAGACATGGGCCCTCATCGAGCTCATTCAGACGTTCTTGGACGACAGCGAGCTCGGGCGTTCAAATTTTTATGTCAATCGGGCAACTGCAGGTGAGCTCGACTGGTTCCTCTACCAGATTTGCTGTACTCACCGGATGGTCCAAGATACTTGCAGCTTTGTTGGTTCTCTGCACCAGGGAATGGAACCGTTCGCATACATGTCAGCCCAGGTTGTCAAGTCTGTACCTTCCGCCTGCAGAAACGAGGCCTGGTCTGTCCGCCAAATCGTCCTCACTGACTCGGCCGAAATCGATTCGAAATCGCACCAGTATTTCCACTCTCGCGATTGGTCCGCGCTCGCTCTCCTTCTGCCCGCATTTCCACAATTGCAACAGTTCCAAGTCCTCTGCGGGGAGAAACATTCAGAAGAGGACTTTCGCGCTCTCTCTGACAAGGTCGCGGGGGCCGTGAACGACCATACGCATCCGCCTGTCACGCTTCAACATGACCGTTACCTGCCAGACGGGACATTCTTGCAGCCGGCGCTGTTTGATCTAACCAAGGCGGATGTGGAGGCAGGGCGAGAGTATGCGGTACGTACTGGGAAGTGGAGTTGATTGACACCTAGCTGAGTAGTCTTTCCGCGCAGACTTGGAGACGGCGACGCGCGGAGGAGATAGATGAGCAGACACGTTTACGCGCTGCACGCGATTCCGACCCCAAGAGCGAAACGGATTGACCGATGGTTACTTCTCATATATCTTGCGTCCCTGTCTATCCTCGTTTGATCATCATTATCAGAAATTCCACGGACCCTTATGTTCCGTCTCGCATTCGTCCTCTTGCAGCTCCCGCACTCGTATGACCTAGTAGATTCAATATTAATGCTATGGACTTACGTTAGTGATGCTCACATGACCCAGATGTATCTGAGTGATGCCTTGCACTGCTGAGTCATAGAAGTGGCCACTGGTGGGTCGATAAGGTAAGATAAACACGTGTCCCGATTCCGCAGCTTGAAATACATCTCGACTTTACTTGTGCAGGACATGTGAAAAGGTCTCACAGCTTTCTCAGCCTGACATGACACGGTGATAATGCAAGACAGCAGCCTACACATTCGAAATCTCGAGTCCTGGCAGCATCTGCGTCACAGCGCCACAGTGGCGGAGCTCGAGAGGCCTAGGCTGTGCACGTAAGATACGCTCACTTTCTCGCATGACGAAACGCACAGTATCTTCTAATTGATCATTCTGTACAGGCTTTGCTGTTATTAATTAAATTGGTCGAGCACAAATCCTCGCTCGTGGACCCGACCACGCCAAATCTTCGGCTGTTGTCTGGCTGCCGCAGCTGAGTAGTTATACACGCTCTACATCACACAAGAGACAAAGCAGAATCTGTACGTGTGCGTGTGAGCACGGCGACTGGTGAAAGAACAAGTCTCGAATCAAGGCTGTTTCCTAAAACTCGGACCGCAGAGAAAACAACTAGTACAGAGAGCTGACCGTGCTATGAGAAGTGAGGGAAGTAAATAGAAAGGTTCGGAAGTAAGAATGCGCTGCAAGGGAGGTAGGGGAGCTGTCTGAGGCTCTCGACAAGAAAGTACACATTCCCCAAGATATACAGGATGACAGATAAAAAATACAGTGTAGTAGACGTGTACCCGGTGAGAATACGCAGCACATGTGGCATATTTTCGCTAGGAGTTTCATAGAGCAGAAAAGCAGTGAGAGAAATGGTGCCGTAGAAGGTGACAGGGAAGGCCACCGCTGCAACGGACGTGATACGCCATAGCGCACGTTCGATGCGCGTCGGGAATGCGGCATCCCAGCCCAATAGATGTGGCAGCACGTATGTGGTGATGAGGGCGAGGAGGATGATCCATTCTCGGAGTGAGGAAAGTACTTCAGCTGTCTGCAGCCCGCCTGTCTTCGTGTAGTGAATCAACCCCTCAGGCTTCCGGAATCCGCCTATTCGCGCTGCTGCGCGTGTGGCGAGCCGCCATCGCAAAATGTCGGTCTTCCCAAGCGTGATCCTACCATCCGGCCTCCGCTCTCGCGCGTGCCACGGACAGTGGGTCTTGCCAAACATGTCGCAATTGTCGGGGTCTGACGCTACCCCGGCCCTGATAGTGAAGGTGTAGGCGTCGACCTGGACGGACTGCGTGGGGAGCATGGTAAATGTCTCCTGCTCGTCGAAGGCGATTTCGCTATCCCCCGCGTGCGCGCAAAAAGCGATCTTGAGATAATCCATCTCAGCAGTGCCCGAGTCATTCGAAAGCCCCATAGCACGTGGAACAATCGGCGTGCCGACCACTTGGAAGTAGGCTGCGAATTCGTGTGCTCTCTTCCCTATGATCACCGTCGGCTTGGGGATGTCCAGTGGCTTCTTCCACCATATGGCGTACACGAAGATCGCTCCGAGTGCGTGCGCAAGTGTCCAGACCTCCAACAAGCTGAGTGGTAGTGCCTGCACGAGGCGTGCAGTGCAGGACACAGCGAAGTAGAGCAGCTGCACAACGAGTAGCGCCTTCGCGAGCCCGCCGGACTTGCTCTGGCACGCGATATCACCCTTCAAGATACCGGGAATTAGGTCAGTGTCGTGCTTCATGAGGAACTGTATCATCCACGGAGCCAAGACCAGTCGCGTCTCTGTCCCGAAGACCGGGGTCGGCGAAGAGTCGAGGACGAAGCCGCCCATGACGGCGTAGTAGCCGTGAGTGAGCGTCCAAGTGTTCTTGCGGACGCAGGACCGAATCGTAACGCTATCAGCGTCAGTCTGTGGAACGATAGAGGCTTAGCGAAGAGGTCTCGTTGGCAGAGCGCGCGAGGCATCACCCACTTTATCGATATCGATTTCCGCTTCTGCACATAGGATGCGTCCGTCTTCTGTCGAGGTGGACGAGTGTATAGATATCTGGTGACAATTAGACGAGCGTGAGTAGGCTTTTGGCGCGTGATACGGTTTCGATGGACTCACCTCACTTCTTCCAACCCAGGCACCGACATATCTCCATAACCTTTCTTGCCAGGTGAGAGCAGCCACCAGCTGTCCCACCAGCAAGTAATCGCCTGCATGCTCTGAGAGCTCCCACGTCTGGCAGAGCTGACTGAAGGCCGTAAAGAGAAGCCAGTCGGGTGCCAGCAGCCCGACGATCAGCCACCGAGCTTTCTCGAGAACGGACGGCTTTCGGCGGTTAGGAGGTATGTAGATGTGGATTGCGCTCCAGACGCAGATGACGAGGGTGGATATGCAGGTGGATATGATTTGCCATGTACCACGAGAGGCAGGAGATGGATACCAGGAGCCTGCAACTGCGGCGGAGGCGTTCTGTGGGGCGAGTGAGTACATGGTGGGTAGGGGAGCAGAAGAGCGGTGGGGAGTGAATCCACTCTTCCGTGAGGCTTATATTGCCTCTGAGGATCCTGGGGCACAGAGGCTTACAAGGCCCAAGCTGTACACTGCGCGCCGACAAGCAGATTGGAGAGTGGCGGAGAGCCCGTAAGTGCATCTCAGACCCTTTCATGTTGCCACTGCCGCACCCATGTATCAGGATCCTAGGGTAAAAAAGCTCGCAAAGTTAGAGTTCTGCACTGGGCCAGGCGACGAGAGAACTTCCTTGTACACAGATTAGATATCGACGCAAAACTAAAAGTACATATTCGCGGGATGTTGGCACTCACAAAAACTTTCGTTTGTAGGGCCATGCAGGCCAATCGTATCCTCTATGAGGCGGACATCCGGAGGCGTATAATGAAAGCGCCGAGGCAGGACGCGACGAGCATTCCGGCGCTTCCTTCCTGAGTCTCAGGATCTCCGAGTCATATGTACCATGTCCTGTGCGATGCGGTACAGACACCAAGGACACCGCCGTACGCGGATATCTCACGCTGTCTCTGTGGCGTTGTAAGCTGAGCCAGATTCTTAACGCACCAGGACAGCCTCCTGCGTCTCTTATAGACATTCCCCGCATCCCGTCTCTCGGATCGTGCTACCTACACTCCGCTACAGACACCGAAGGCAGCATTTAATACCTCAGAATGTGTATCCCGAAGAGACGGTCTTGCTCGACACAACCTCCACTCGGGCCTTATACCTCTGGGGTGCCCCGGGCATGCATTCAATGCGTCCATGCTTACCGGCGCATCCTACCTTACGTTTGCCTTCATTGTTAACGAGAAACCGCAGGTATGTTCTCTGCAGTCCAAGATATTATCGCAGGTCTGTTCTATCCCCACGCGGCACGCCGAGACCAGATGCTGGAGAGCCAAAAGGGACGCTCGATCCTCAACGAGAAGCTAACCCGAAAATCTACGTGAGATACTTTGCGGATCTTACCCAGAGAGTACATTTTAGCGTACCTATGTTACCTGGCGAGGGCGAGAGACCACATCACTCGACTGCGGGTAGATTGCTCAGCTTGAGAATCGAAGCGTGCGGTTCATACGAGAGGTGGAGATGGAGTATAGCCATAGCTTGACTAGCGAGAAGTGATTTCTCGAGAAAAGGAAACTTTGCAATCCGTGCTCTTGAGGAAGCAGAGGCAGGCCCGAGGAAAAATGGCTTTCAACGCTTCGTACACTGAGCTGAACTCTAACATCTTCGGAAACTCTTGCAGCTCGTTCGACGACGACGAAAGAGAGCACAGGAGTGGAACGGTGTTACGATTGCTCTACAGTAGTACAAAAGTGGTGAATAACTTATCTCGCTGTCTATGTGAAGGCTTTACACTTCGTGGGTAAAGCGGGCAACGCAAGCCCTGCGCCCCCTATGCGCAGACCTGTCGCCCCCGCCACCACCTTGGTCATCTTCACGAGAATACGTCGCTCTGACCTTGCTGAACGGCCTCGCCAACGAACTCTCACCACCAGACGGCTCAGGTTTGTCAGCGACAGGTGCGACGGGCTCAGGTATACGTACACGTGCGCTCTGCAATCGCCATGCTCGGCACGTCGTCGCGGAAGCTTAAGGGGATCTCCGACAAGAGTGGGTAATCGAGGACGAGGCTTAGCGTTAGCGGGTCGGGCAGGAGCTTCGGATTCTGCAAGCGCACAAGTCAGTCGAACATTCAAACTCTACGAGTAAGAGGATGACGCACGGCGGATTGTTGTATCACGTTACCCTCCACGAGGTTGGACGGCTTTCTGCAGGCGCGAGCCCGCACTAGACTGTGTTTGCAGAGGGCGATAATAGCCTCCTCAGCCGTCGCCCGAATGGCAAGGGTCTTGACGACCCAGGCTTCGTCTACCCGATACGATGCGCACGCTTGACCACCTATGTTTCGACGTCTGCCTGTCACCCCGGCTCACAAGATACGATGCTCAGTGCAGTCGGGAATTTCCTAAATTACCCGATTATCTTAGCGTCAAAGGCCGAAATCATTAGAATGATCGGTACTTACAGGCTACGCACGCTTTCATCTGCTTCTGGCTCGTCAGACTGCACTTGATCCCCATCAAGTCTTGACCCTCGGTCCATGCCCTCAGTAGCGCATAGCGGCGTCGACGGCGACCTAGAGAAGGTGGGGAAGTTCGAAGACTCGGTGTACAAGTGAACCTGCAGCCGCACACGCTAGCCTCGATACTCCCATAGTCGAAATACCGGTGGCGCACCTCGTTTAGGATGTAATTCAGCTTCAACGGCGCCTCAAATAGCTGCAGCGCCGACTCATCCCTCGCAATGGGTGAAATCGCCTTTTGCTTCTTGTTTGAGGACCGCAGCTTCATGCCCACCCACGACGCGTTGTATTGCCCCTCGCCTGTCGAGCTCGCCTGAATATTCGCCTAGACTCCGCAGCTTTCCAATGGGAGTGAGCTGGCTATATTTGCACGTATTTCTGGGGTGGTGCGGGCGATCAGGGGCCATGAATATGAACGAGGTGGTGTTGCGGGCGTCATTGAGCTGGTCGATGCTCACCAGCCGGGTAGACCATTTTGCAGTGGATTGATACAGGGACGTTACAAAATATCGTGAGGACGAAGGAAGTTTGCGTGAGAGCAATACATTCAGGTCACGATTCGGTGCGTTCACTGTATATTGCTCGGTAAGATGAAGAGGCAATAGAAGTAGCGGAGAGACGTAAGTAGCAAAGATACCCCTAGCGATTGCATGTCTCTTCCTATTAACATCACGCCTCATACTTCGACCCCGAAGAACTTCGGGCTGTGAGGTCCTGTTGGAAGGCAATGCCATTGAATGTGGGGTCTCGCAAGGCCTTCGGCGCGGTCGACAGAGCTTGCAGAGCGCATCCTGGAAATCTCTTAATGACGACGGTTAGGCCGCAGTCGACAAGCCAAAAACGAGCAGCTGATTTTCTGAAACAGAATGCGCATCGACGAGGACGACGTTGACAACGTCGTTGCGGAGACGAAGACGACAGAAATTCGCACCCGTGGAGTGTATGGGCGTCTGCATAATTGCCCCATGGATCTCAGATCCCATCGCTGAAGTACTGAGGAGTTCGGACGTTCACGCGTTCACGACTCAAAACAGCACCGGAACAACCTCTCCACGATGCTCACGACGTCTCCGAGCACAGTTTCTATATTTTCTAACATAATAGGCTTAACAAATCACTATGCCGTCTCAGACATGAAGGCCCGAGTTAGCGGTCGATCTAGACGCTTCCGCCCCTCATCGCGTAGACTCACCTACTAATATCGAATAGACGCAAGATTGGCTCACTAGCGAATGCACTTGGGTCCTAGGTCCTTAGCCAAGATATAGGTCAAGTTGGGACATCTGCTGAGGCCTGGGGCCGAATCAGCTTAAATTTCGTTTCCGGACATGATAGGCCGTGAAATACAGCCGCACACTCACACCACCCTCATCAACTACAAGAAGGCCTATGGAAAGTCAAGTAAAATCTAACGCTTCCGCCGTCGCAGCCATCAACCCGTCGCAGCCATCAACCCGTCGCAGCCATCAACCCGTCGCAGCCATCAACCCGTCGCAGCCATCAACCCGTCGCACCCCGCTTTGCGCCTGCCCTTAAATCTACTCGCATTCGCTTTTCTATTGCACATGCGTGTCGCTAACCTTCTTAGCTTCTCTCAATCCCCGGTGCGGCCTTTCACACGCGACCTGCTACCGTTACAGGTGGCCTGTTTCCCAAACAATCATCACTATTCGTCGTTTGTGGTTCCACATGGTAAGTAAATGTGCAGGATGTCTAAGCGAAGCGTCGCCGCTTTTTTGGCCTGACGTGGCACGGCGATGGCACAGGAAAGCGGCCTTCACGTCCAAAATCCCGAGCTCCGGCTGCATCCGCGCCACAATGGCGAAGCACGAGAGGCCCAGACTGTGTGCGCGCGAGATCACTCAGCCGTACATGAACATCGCCACCTGACCGAGACGAGCAAAAGCACGCACAGAAGCCGGTGTGCTCTCTTTCTCGCATGACGAGCCGCACTAACTGATCACTCTGCACAAATTCTACTGCTATTGATTGAATTGTTCGGATGCGGATTCCCGTTCGTAGACCCGGCCACGCCAAGTCCTCCCGGGCTCTCGCGCTGGCCTGTCAATTGCATGTCCGGAGGTGAGGTCCCTGGCTGATTCGGACTCTCTGTGCCTGGGCCATGCATATGGCGGTCATTCCCACGGATGCGCCTGTGAGCATCACGAGCGAAATAGCGGCTTTATCCTCCTCTGTTCTGTCGATTACGAGATGTCTCGTGAATTTTCTGTACACACCGGGGTGTGCAACATTTCTAACGAGATGGCGCATTTGTCCTCGCGCACGACATCCACCTTCGCAACGGACAGGCCCAGTCGGGTGCGAACAGCCCGATGATCAGCCACCGAGCTTTCTCGGGGAAGGTCCGCATTTGGCGGTTAGGAGGTATGTCGGTGTGGATCGCGCTCCAAACGCAGACAACGAGGGTGAAAATGCAGGTGGATATGATTTTCCATGTGCCACGGGAGGTAGGAGATGGATACCAGGAGCCTGCATGTACGGCGGAGGCGTTCTGTGCGGCGAGTGTGTACATAGTGGGTATGGGAACAGGAGAGCGGCGGGGAGCCTGTATGTGCATCTACCCTTCCGTTATCAAGCTTCAAGCTTTCAAGGCTTATATTGCCACTGCCATATCCATCTATCAGGATCCTAGGACACAGAAGCTGACAAGGCCGAAATTCTACGCTGCGACGATGAAGCTGTCCAGAGAACTTCCTTGTACTTCCTTGTACACAGGTCAGCTGCGCGTCTTGACGTTCAGAGGATGTAGAGGGCGTCCCAGGGACACATTAACGATATTTGTCGCAATCAAGCTTAGTCGGAGCAGCTACATAAAGCGTTGGAATGTCTGAAACGGGATGCTCGGTGTTGATGACGTCGTTGTGGTAGGAAAGCTCGAATATACTGTACGGCCCGGGGCGTCCCGGATAGTTGCGATGTATATCTTAGATCCCATCACTCTTCTCACGTGGAGAGTCTGGACTCTGCAGGACAGCAGCCTCTGCGCGATGCCCACGACGTCCCGGGCACGCTCTCTGCCATGTTGAACGTGATAAAATTTGGAGGTCGGTGGTCGTTGTGGCCGCTTCCCTCATTCTGAAGAGCTGCTCAATATTGAATAGACGCGATGTTGAGCTCGCTGGCAAGTCTACCTAGGTACTCTATTACCAAGATACAGGTCAAACCAGACTTCTCAGGCTGCTGAGGCACTTCCTCGTATACGTGGTTTTGTTTAGTATGTACGCGCACGACTTTACCAGCGCGAGATATCTGAAATCAGTCATAAAGCCGTCTCTTTTCGGGCCGACGTGACACGGCGATAGCACAAGACGGCAGCCTACATGTCCGAAACCCCGAGCTTCGGTAGCACCCGCGCCACAATGACGAAACTCGAGAGGGTCAGGCTGTGTGCGCGTAAGATATCCCAGCCGTGAGTAAACATCTCCGTCTGACCAAGGCAAGCAAAAGCGCGCGCGACTGCTCTTACGCTCTCTTTCCCGTATGACAAAATGCACTGTGCCTTCTAACGGACCACTCTGCGTAGACTTGGCTGTTACCAATAATTAAATGGGTCGGGGACGAATCCCCGCTCGTGGACCCGGCCACGCCAAGCCCCCGCAGGCTCTCCCGCAAGGTCACGGCCTGACCTGACCTGACATGTCAAATACCTGTCCGGAGGTAAGGCCACTGGTTGGTGCCGACACACTGTACCTGTCTCTATTGGCTGGCGTGGGCGGATGATCGGAGATGATCTGCGCGCGGCAGACGATCTCCACCATGTGTCCGCACCATTGCTGTCGAGAACGGACTCAAACGTCGGTAGAGGGTGGCGCGGAGCTGAGCCAAGCTGCAAAGACAGGATGAGAGAGGCCTCGAGCACCTGACATCGCCTCCGCAAAGCGTTCGCGGGCTTTTTCTGCCGGTGCAGGGGCGACACTGGGCTCGACATACAGTATATAAGCCGCACCGTTGCTCATGAGGCTCTCCAGCTCTCAGCCGGCTCACAACTGTTTTCGTCTTCTTCAAACCAGCCTTTTTTTCGCTTTTTCAACCTAAACCCTTCCAACCCTTTACGCACCAGCGATGAAGTTCACGACAATCCTCTCTGCGCTCGCCCTCGGCGCATTCTCTCAGCTCGCCGGCGCCGTTCCCGCGCCTGCGCCCGCCGCACACCACGCCCGCGACGTCTGGGACCCGCACATGACGTACCCGACGGCCGAGACGGTCTGGCAGTCTGGTCAGACCTACACCGTCACCTGGTGAGCAGCGAACGCATGATTTTTCGGGCCGCGGAAGTGCTGATGCGAAGCGCACCAGGGACACCTCGGATGCGCCCGTGAACATCACGAGTGGCGACAGCGGCTTCATCCTCCTCCGCTCTGGCGATTATGAGGGGCCTCGTGAGTGTCCTGTGCGCGTCGAAATTTGAGAGAAATTTTAACCGGGAGGGCGCAGTTGTCCTCGCGTACGGCATCCACCTCCGTGACGGACAGGCCCAGGTGACTGCCCCGGATGTCATCACCGGCAGCGACTACAGCCTGGTCTGTAAGTACCTCGCGTCTTCCGCCGTCTGACATTATCATCGTACTGACCAACGCGCAGTGTTCGGAGACTCGGGCAACTGGGGTCCTGAGTTCACGATTAACGGCCCGATCACGTTTTGAGCACGCACTCTAGCCTATGACTGGCACGAACGGACATGAGACAGACTTCCCTTTGGACTGTAAGTTGTGTGGATTGTTTGTTTGTACTGCATTGCATCGTAGACGCACGTCAATAATCCTTGAAATAAACCTGCGCTTGTTAGTAAGATAGGCCCAGTTCATTTCCCTCTACATCACGTGCTCAAGCGCCGTCACGCTTCGCAGAGGGTACGCCCCGCAAATCTATCTTCTCTTCGTAGCCTCCAGTAGCAAATAAATTTGAGGCATCAAACTCTTAAAAATAGATTTTATACATTATTGATACCTCGATTCTGCGAAGTATTGCTCTTTTTGTCAAGAAGAGAGAGTTACAAGAGTACAACAGCGGGACTGACATAATCAATAAGCTCAGCGACTGTTTCATGAATATTCGTTGCTGGGCTGGGGAAAGCTAGTAACAAACTCAGTAACACGATAAGAACGCCTAAGCACAACATAGAATATAGACTCATTTCTCTGGAATACATTTCTTACGCATTAATCACTATTACCGTTCGCCTTCCCAACCTCCAACCTCCTATCGAGCGAATGATGTACGTGTTTGGAGCTTAAATTATCTTATCCGGCCAATCGTATGATTGTCACGCTGTGGCGGGACTAGAGGGAAATGAACTGGGTCTATCTTATAACGTTCATGAAATACTCGGTTGTTATTTAGTTGTCGCAGCTGTGTCATTATACAGCCCTACATCGCAGAAGAGAGAGCAGTATCTACATGAAAGCCTGCATATAAGCACGGCGACTGATTCATGAACAATTCTCGAATCCAGGCTGTTTGTTAGAAGCCGGAGTGCGAAGAAATATAGCAGGTAATACAGAACAGCAGATTGCACTACGAGAAATGAGGCAAGTAGACCGAAAACTTTGGTATCTTGGTTGCGCTGTCAGGAATGCGGGAGAGTTGCCTGGGGCTCTCGAAAAGAAAATACCCGTTCGTCAAGGTGCACAGGATGATAGATGAGATGGTCAGTTTAAGAGTCGTGTAACCGAAGAGAATATAGAGCATGTATAGTATCGTTTCTCTAGGAGCTGTATTGGGCAGAACGTCCCCCCTCCCCAGAACTTGAACAGCGATGACGTAAATAGCAGTACTAGGGAAGGCCACCACCACAATATTGGACGCATCATGCCACAGTGCATGTTCGATGGGTGTCGGGAAGGTGGCATTCCAGCCGTCTCTCACGATTTCTCTGGTTTCAAGAGCAGTCAAAGCTGAACGTAGCTCTGGGCCGGCGCACAAAGCCTGACCAGTGTGGTAACGGCGCTTATCTCCCGAGCCGCGGAACTTTGTCGACTAAGGACCGTCGGCGTGCAATGCTATACCAGAGGACGATGGACCCGACTACGCCGTGAGAAAAAGGGTTCGGACATACACTGTCCTTCCATGTGAGTGGCCCATATGACCAGAGGCCGTCAAGGTTAGAGAGTTCTGCTCCGCGCCTAAAGCCGATGAGACTGGACAGAGAACTTCCTAGCGCGCAGATTAGACGACGTAGGAACAACAATGGGATGCTGCCATCTTATCCATAATCCCTCTCATTGTAGAGGGCCAAAGTTGAGGTTAAACATCTCCACGTAGTGAGCCTGAGGATCAGATACCAGCGAACATGGAGGGACACGGAGGAGTCAATCCGAAGATAGTCGACACGACGCACCGCAGGAACCTCCCCCAGCAGACATTTTGGCGTACCGAAGACAAAGAATACTGTGTCAAAAATCTTCCGAGTCTACAGGATAAATACGGAGAATGATTTATTGAGCTCTTGGTGTAAAGCTCTACACTTCGTCAGCAAAACGTACAACACGGGCCCTGCGCATCTTATGGCCAGACTCGCCCTCATTTTCATTGTCATCGCCATCCACTCGAGCACGCTTCGGTCTGATCTTGATGACCAACTTCGGCGACTTATCCTCGCTGCCAGGCCGTTCAGGCTCATCAGCGACAAGGTCAACGGGCTCAGGTGTGTGTGGGCGCTCTATGGTCGACAAGCTCGGCGCGTCATCGTGGATGGGTACCTCCGGTAGAAGCGGGTAGTCAAGGACCAGACTCGGCGGCGACGGATCGGGAAGGAACTTCGGATTCTGCGTGCGCGCAAGTCAGTCAGAAGTCCAAGCCCAACAAGTAAGGGATGACGTACGGCAATAAACTCTCGCATCACATTGTCCTCCGCAATGTTAGGCAGCTTTCCCCCTGCAGCTCCGAGCCCGCGCTTGAGCGCATCGCGGCGAGAGACCATGGCCTCCTCGGCCGTACCTCGGATGGCCACAGTCTTGACGGACACGGGTTTCGTCTGCCCGATACGGTGTACACGCTTGATAGCCTGCGTCTCGACATCCGCCTGCCACACAGGCTCGCAGAATATGATGCGTGACGCGGTGATAATGTTCCTGTGTTTGGTTAAGCCTCAGCGCCGAAAGCCAGGATCGTCGGGATAGCCAGTACTTACAGGCCACGCGCACCATGCTTGAGCTCCATCAGAAACACACGATATGTGTCTGACGACTCGAACGTCAGAACGTCCTGCTCGACTTCCTTCACTGGCTTCTGGCTCGTCAGCTTGTATCGGATCCCCATCAGGTTCAGGCCCTCGGCGACGTATAGCAGCGTCAATGGCGACTTGGAGAAGATGAGGAACTTCGAAAACTCGGCGTACAAGCGAACCTGCAGCCACTCCTGTTAGCCTCAGTGCCGTCCTGCTCGAAACGAACGTCACGCACATCGTTCAGGATGTAATTCAGCTTTGACGACGCCGAATTGCCCACACGTACGCTCGCGAGCGGCGACTCGCTCAGCAATGCAGTGCCTGTCGGCTCGTCCCAAACTGTGTGGAACTCCTCCTTATACCGCTGCTGCGCCTCGAGCAGCCGCAGCGCCGACTCATGTCTCGCGACCGGCGTCGTTGGCCTCTGCTTCTTGTCCGAGTCCCGCAGCTTCCTCATCCCTTTGTTGACCTTCGCCCGCGACGCGTTGAACTGTACCCTCCGACTCTCGAGCTCGGTGAGATGCTCTCCCAGACTCTGTAGCCGACTGACTGGTGCGAGCGGGTTCGACTGCACGTAATTCCGGAGCGGGCGCAGCCGGTCAGGAGTCATGAACATGAACGGCGTGGTGTTGTGGACGTCGGTGATCTGATCGATGTCCGCTGGTAGGATAGACCACTTGTCGTAGATTGGTGCAGGCATGTTGTACACTCTCGTGAAGACGTAAGGGTGTTGCATGAGAGCGCGCCAGACAGGATCCGATCCTGTACGTTCGCTGTGTATTACTCTGTAAGTAGAGAGACATAAAAGTAACGAAGGGACGTACAGGCGCCGTAGGGACTCGTCCAACAAACGTATGTCGCCTTCTGACACGATACCACGTGCCTTGGCAACCTCGAGAAATTTCGGACCCATCGCGATTTCTTCGTCCATCTTGAACGTGTCCTCGTCCATATGCCAGAACATCGCCCTAACATCGGCCTTATTCAGTACACGCAGTATCGAAACATAAGCAAGTCGTACTGAGATATATTCTCTATTGTCTGCTGCAAAGCCGCAGCATTTCTCGGATGCAGAATCCAGTCCTGCCCATCGTTCAGACGAAGTGGATACTAGAGACACTGCTATGAAACTCACCGCCCCCTCGCGCTCAGACGTCACAGCGTTGATCGCGATTGACGCCTGCAGGACGTTATACGTCTTCACCCCCATCGGCTCCAGATCGAGGAGCACCGTCTCTTGGTCCAGCATCGGCAACAGCACCTCTTTCTCGATGTCCTCGATGCGGTGACGAATCATCGTGCTCGCCATCACCTGTGTTAGGACCTGGATTGCCCCGGGCCTGGCGCCCGCGGGGTCCATGAGCGGCGCGACGACGCAAGACGAGAACAGCTTCGCATCCGCGGCGAAACGTGGAATCCGGAGGAAAGACGAGATCATCGCCCCGAGCTTGTTTAAGTCACCCCGGTCGTTTTTGCTCCAGGCGCGTATGAAGGTATGTGGTGGCTTGCCATCGAAGGCGGCCGGCGCGGAACTTGGGGCGGCCTGTGGTGAATGCTCGAGTGATGCAGAAGATGGATCGGTGGAGTTCCCTGAGTCGCTATCGGACAGGCCCTCTTGTGCCTCCATGACGCGCTGCCTGTAGTCTGCAGATGCGAGTTCCTCGTTTTCCGCTTCTTCATCGTCGTCCGCCGGGTACATAAGCTCGCTTCCGGCTCCAAAATGCAGTCCCATGAGATTGGCTGGGACAGCGCTGTAAACTTGAAACGGATTACGATGTCAGACGAACACTTACTTGTAGGTGTGCCAGTGACGATCCACTTGCTCTCAACGGAAAGTTGTTCAAGACATGCCGCGAGAGCGGTCGTCGTGTCGCTTAGGTTGTTCCCCTCATCGACAATCAGGCGCTTCCATCGCATCTGAATGAGTGGTGACACATCGTCGGGCGGTTTGCACCGACAGTAAGGAACTCGAACAGGCCAGTTCTCTCGTGTTTGGCAATCACAGGATTTCAGTGAGTGGAGTTTCTGCAATTTATGCCTGTTCATCTTACTTGCTTCATGGGATAAACCTGGAGTAGCGTTAGCAGATGCCTAGACCTCAAGTCAGAGCAAACTCACGAGAGTGCGTCATAAGAATGATCTGAGCGTGAATTAGTAATGAAAAAGTAGCTTCAGGAAAGGCACTCACATCGTAAAGCGCCAGCTTCTTCGCAGAAGGCAGGCTATTGTTATCTACCATCATGTACGTCCTCAGCGTCGAGTCACAGTGCTTGTTGATCTCGTTGAACCATTGGTTGAGCAGGTTCGGAGGCACAACGACTAGCGTCGCGCTGGACAGGAACATGATTCTGGGACCGCTATCCCCGTGAGCTTTACGACTGGTGCGAAGGGTCTCGATTGGCTCGTCCTCGTAGTGGTGGTAGAAGGGCGTATTGGCCTTGTAAGCCTTCCAGAGCCTCGAGAACCTTAGTACGTCCTCGTATTCGCGGACACCGGTGCTCAGTGGGTCTGTCGAGCAGATATGTAATAGGTGCTCGATGAGCGATGGAACGCGTGGTGTGTCTACTGCGTCGATTTTCTGGCGCCGGCGCGCCGGCGACCGCTTCGCGCACTTCTCTCTGGCGTCCGCGTATGTCTGAGACGGGAAATGACGAAGGGCCAGTGGCGTTAGAACTGGTCGAGGATCCAGATAGGACTCTTCGGGTGCAGGGAGCTGATCAAGTGTCGCCAGAATCAACGCTAACGACATGACGGTCTTCCCAGTACCAAGTTCTTCACATAGTATGCCGCCGCGCGTCTGAGCCACGGTCGGACATTCGCGTAATAGCTCCATTGTAGCTGGCTGAATGTAGCAAACACTGTTGTCTAGGCCATAAACTGGAACGTACAGTGGATCTGGGATGACTCCTGGCTGAAGCTCGCGCTGGATCATTGCCGCCACAGACCGGCGCTGATATGCGTACAGCGAGCTCTTCAGGCCACGTATGGCTGCGCCACCCAGGATCTCGCGGGCCTGCGGATGGGCAGATGATTCATCTTCAGGGATCACAGGTGATGGCAGTGTATTATAGAGCTCTGCAAGGGTCCGGTTGTCCTAGACGCAGGTCAGACCAGAGCAATGTGGCGATAAATTTCGGGCGTACTGCAGTATTGTCAAAAAACATAGACGATGGCCCTTGCTCCTCCATCTCCCCTTCCCATAAGGAATGAATCCTGGACAACTTTAGCAGCAGAGTCCGCAAATACTTGCGAGCCGGAGCAAGGACCGCAGTTTCATCCCGCTGGCGAAGTCTTCCTTCGACATTCGCGAGGTCATGTGGTATCAAATAAACCCGGATGTAGAGCCTCGAGGAACCAGAAGGCGCGCAAATCCGACACGTCGCGGCAATGAATTTATGAGTAATGAGAAAATCCAGCAGTCGTGTGAACTGCTCGTCCTCCGCCTGTAGGAGGCTTGCGAGGTGCCCGTTCCCGGGGTAGTGATGCCAGACGTCAGGGTGAAGATGTTCAGAGCACGTAATCCCGTTCGACTTGAGACTCAAATGCAAGGCCCCTGCTGGAAGGGAGTGCTGCAAAGCGTAGGGTCCCACAAGGTCTGCGGCGCGTTCGACGAGGTCCAGAGGGTGTAGAGAGCATTCCACAGACATCTTGACGACGGCCGGGCTGCACTAAAGCTCAATATGAGCAGCTGGACACTTGGAAAAGTATGCACATTGACCGAATACGTCGTGGTAGTGGGGAGGAACTTGGGACGACGGGGAACCCGCGGTCAATACGCGGGCGCTGCGTCAATTGCAGTGCGGATCTCAGATCCGATCACTTTCCCACAACGGAGAGTCTGGAGACAAGGCACCCGACAAGACAGCACACCGAACAACGTCTCCACGACGTTCACCACGTCTCCGGGCACACTTTCTACAACGCCGAGCATGATAGACCTCACCTATGACTATGCTATCTCTGACATGAAAAACCAGTTGTCCAAGCTGCAGACCGTGCAGGAGCGTGAAGGTCAGTGGTTGATGTGGCCGCTTTCCTCACCGCGTAGGCTGATCCAACATCGGATAGACGCGATAGTGAGCTTGCTATCGAGCCTGCCTAGGTCTTCTATAGCCAAGATACAGGTCAGATTAGGACCTCTTTTAAGGCTCGACATTCTTGGGGTACGTTCCTGGAGATGCATGCAAGGTCGTGTGCGCTGAAGGTGATGATTCACAGCTACTTCCCGATGAAGTCGCGTTGCAGATCTTCTCATATCTCCCTTGGGAGACTCTGGTTACGTGCACTCTGGTGAGCAGGAGATGGGGGACCCTCGCAAACGATGGCAGTCTGTGGCGCCGTCACTGCCAGGAGAAGAAGTGGGAATGGCGAAGCTGCGTGGGGTCTCAAACAGACGGCCGGGCGCCGTCAACATACGGAGACTCAGACGATGAGGGCATGGGCGACGAAGAAGACGAGCTGGTCGAACAGATGCTGCTGGACGATTCTGGCTTCTCTTCCATGGCAATGGAGGCCACACAGGCCTCGACATCTAACTCACATGTGGTCAAAGCGCTGTTAACCCAGATCCAACCTGCCCGCAGACCGATACTTCTACCATGGCATATGCCGATCCAACATCATCCGCCGGCGCCATCGAAGCCAGACTACGAGCTACTTTTCGCCACGCACATGCGTCTGAAGAACCGCTTCTACTTGGGTTCATACAATCTCTCAACGCTACAGACGCGGGGTGCGCCAAACGGTCACTCTAATACCATCTACTGCCTCCAGCTCTACACTTATTCCGACACCGGCATCCAAGTTCTATTCACAGGTTCAAAGGATCGAAGCATTCGCGAGTGGGACATCGCTGGGGGAGGACTCCGGCGCGTCATCGAAGGCGTGCACGAGGGCAGTGTGCTCAGTATATGCGCATACAACGGCCTTCTTGTCAGTGGGGGAAGCGACAGGAGGGTCGTCGTCTGGGATCTTTCGACCGGCGATCCTGTTCGCATCCTTCGAGACCACACGGACAGCGTGCTCTGCGTACGCTTCAATGATCGCCGGCTTGTGTCCTGTTCGAAGGATCGCACCATCAGGACGTACTTGTTGCCCGACTTCAGGCGTCAGTTCCGCATGGAAGATCACCGTGCTGCCGTCAACGCCATATCCGTGTCTGGTGACTACATCGTCTCGGGCTCCGGCGACAGATCCATGAAGATTTGGAGCGCAGACACCGGTGAGCTTATCAAGACATTTGAAAATCACCATGGACGAGGGTACGCCTGCCCCGTGTGGTAGCTATACGCTATACTAACCGTCCTGTAGACTCGCAGCCATTGACTTCCAAGCACCTTACGTGCTCTCTGGGTCCTCCGACAAGCACCTCCGTCTCGTCGACATCTCCACCGGCCGCGGATGGTCAACATCGCCAGACATGGATGAATCCGTCGTTTCTCAAACTGCTGCGGGTGATCCTTGCCCCGCCTGTGGAGGTGTCGCCAAACCAGGGGCTCCGCGTGTTCCCCAGAAGACACACGAGGATCTCGTGCGGAGCGTCGTGCTCAACTCGGACTTCGTCATTAGCGGAAGCTATGACCATACGGTCAAAGTTTGGGACCGCAGTACTGGCGCGCTCGTCGCTGATCTTGCTGGCGGTCACACAGGACGTATTTTCTGTGTAGGCTTTGACCATTCGAAGGTATGTTTCATGTTATGGAGGGCTGTTGCTTGAAACTGAGACTTTGTATCCCGTTCAGATTGTCTCTTGCGGTGAAGATCAGGTACGCTTATGGCTGCACTGCGGCGATAAGCCTAGTACTGATCGACGGCCCTCCTTTACAGCGAATCTGCGTATGGGATTTTTCCCATGGAATCGACACCTCCTTCGTGAAGCTGCAATAAGCACATCCACATTTAATCTCACCTATTTCCGTGCATACATAGGATCTTTCGCACATCTCGCTTTGTCGCGGACTAGGCATCATCACTGCATAGGTTATCATAGAATTTCATGTACACTTCTACGTGTATACAGTATTTGCATCCAGTAATGGATGCTACTCGGCGGTACCGGGGCATATCCTACTTGCCAGCCGAGTCACCCCGGTGGGCCTCGAAACATCGTCACTGGAGGCGCTGACAGGATCAGTGGATGAGGATGCTAGGGATAAATTAAATTAACTTGAGAAAAAAGCAAATCAGTACGACCAGGCCAAGGGCAACATGGCAGCTGTACATGCAGAAGATGAAAGTCCAAAATGCGAAACACTAAATAAATATTTGAATGAAGATCGGGGACGGACTTCTCAGAAGAGCGTCCGCAAGGTAAGGATTGCGAGTTCGTGAAGTCCGTCACAGATTAAGGCGTCTGCGCAGTGTGTCTGATTAGGGAGATTTAAGGCGTTGTTCATCGTCGTAACTTGTTTCGTGTGCTGATGCGCGTATCGTCATCAAACGGGAGACGCAGGAGTCTAGCGATGGAACGCGGTCTGGAGGACCGAGTTCCGCTTCGTGCGCGGCGGCTGCTGTGCAACGGGGACCTCTTGGAGACAGAAGCGCGGAACGACGCCACGCTCCTCGTCCGACCCGACCATGCGCTGGACGAGACACCACTCGTCCTCGTATTCATCGTGCATGCGGAGCGGCTCGCCGACGGCGATGTGCAGCTCGTCGGGCAGCGACGGCACGTACGTGCTCACGACGACCATAAGCCGCGGGAGGTCCTTCTTGCCCGCGCCGGCGAGCTTCGACGCCGAGGCGAGGCTCTTGAACATCGGCGAGTCGGGGCCCATTGACACACCGCGCACGGGGCTCTGCAGCGGCGACGCGGCGTCGCCGGACTTGAGCATTTGCATCGTCACGTTCACGTGCGGCGTCATGCGTCGTGCCTCCTTCTCATCCTTGTCGGCGAAGCGCACAGTGACTAGCGGCGCGGGGGTCTGCATTGTGTGCGCCGTCGGCGGGGTACTCTTCAGGGGGAGCGGCGCAGGGCGCAAGTTGAACGGCTTGAAGAAGCGGGTCGGGCCTTTCGTAACGGTCTTGTCAAGCGAGTGCGCGGAAGCGGGCAGTGCGATGCGCTGCCACTTGTAAGTTTTAAGCTCACGATCAGCTTTGTCGTCGGTGTCGAGGGCTGGGGCGGATGACTCCTTGGCAATAGCCTCTTTCGGGACGTAGCCTCCGAGGCTCTGGGACGCAGCACGGGTCTTGGTCCTGCGCCACTTGCCGACCCTCCACGCAACAATGCCTGAGGAATGCGTCCAGTGTCAACGAGGGTAGCTTAGCAGTGACAAAGTACAACTGACCAAGCACTACCACACCCAAAAGTACAACGATAGCGGCTAAAGCCTTGGTGGAAGCCGGCATATGTTTCGTAGCAGCCTCCGTGTTCTCCCTCTGCTCCAGCGCACTATTGTGCACGTTGATGACGGCCATAACGGAGTAGAAAAGACACAGGCGTAAACGAGAAGAAACGAGAGGAAAAAGGGAGGGACAAGGTCCCTGGAAGAACGAACGAGAAAAAAGGGAGAAGAAAGGTGAGGAACCAGGATGGGGGCGGACGGCGTATATATCATGCTCGTAAATTTCGAGCAGACGTCGGTCATTGATGCACATCCAGAGGATATGTTTCATACCAAAGACATCAAGTATTTCTGCCGCGGAAGGCGCTTACGCTGTGCCCTTATCGGGCTAGTCCAACACCGCATCAGGCAGGTGTGGAGTTTCCTATTTTGCTTGCGAACGGCTCACTAAATTGGCACGTCCGGCTTACTTATACAACGCAAAGGCAGTCGACTTGTAGAAAGCTCAGGAGGCGCAATAACTGCATCCCTCGGAGGCTGTTGGACTGGAACATGCAACATATCGCTCAGATCCGCTATTTGCCCGCGTATCCTGGCACACTGCCTCCGCCGACGTAGGTACCCGACGCCCGACGCTGTGTACATTACAACGACAGACGGCCGAGCAGTCTGGTAATGGGTCTGTCAGCGGGTTGATTCGTATTACAGCAATACACTAGCCTAGTAATCCATTAGAGGGTGTCGAGAAGTTGTGTCGAAACAGCACGGTATAGCGACCGTGCACCTTCAGCAGGTACGTAACTCTGCAATGAGTCCTTCACCAGCTTCTCCACCGTCGCCGCAGGTAGCGACTCCGCCGCGTCCTCGGAGAGTGAGAACAGAGCTTCCGCTGCAATCGCAATCTTCTCGTCCGTGGTGAAGGGAACGAACGGCAGGACTGTTGTCACTCGTGAAAGAAGCGAGGGCTAGAACAGGAATAAGCTCATATATCTGCGCAACCGGAAGAGCACTCACTCCCAGCCGCTCCGAGACCTTCGGTCGGAGCATTTTCATGAGGTCGACGTATTCCTCGCGGGACATCTGGGCTTCCGGGCTATGTCTCGTAGCCTGATGCTCAAAGACTAGATTGTGACCGATGTTCGAGGTCCCAAGCCAGATCACTTTCGAGCAATCAACATGGCGCTGACTAGCCTCGAATGAAACACGTCCTGAGAGGGCAATCAGTGTCCTCTGGGAAAATCAGCGCGGAGTGCAAACATACCCAGCTCCCAAGGCATTAAAAGAGATGATAGGATGACCTCGTTCTCAGTCTTCTCAATTTCCTATCAAGGTATAGCGGTAGAATTAAATACCGAATATAGCACAACTGGCACAGACTCACATCAAGAACGACGACGCAGCGTTGGCCTTCGTTCTCCTTGAGGAACTCGGCGAGCGTCAGATCAGTCGGTTCCTGAATCTGTTCAGCTATCATTGAGTGTCTTCCGAAGTCTAATATGTGTCGTACCTCGTAAGGACTCATCGAGTAGCTCTTCCAGATATCCCGAGTGGTCCGTAGAGTGGTCATGTTCACGGTGTGCGTCGGGACATCCAGCAACGATCCGACTGTAGCTCATCAACAAAGTACTACGTCAAACTTAATGTAAAGACCCACATCTCCTGGCGAGAAGACTCTTCCCGTGTCCACTAGGTCCACAGAGCAGTACAACGATGGGCGCCATGGTTGGCATGCTCAGCACCCTGAACAGCTGTTCCAATGCGCGATCTTGGCCGATAAGGTCATACCGTACCCGCGTCAGCGGACGGAAGAATGAGCGGTGGATCAAGGACGACGCTCGACGGGTCTGGGGCGCGTCAGCGCGAGTAATGTAATATCTGCACGGCCGCCGCAAGTCAGTACGATAATGTACACTCCGGGTATTTGATATCCCACCTCGTCGCAGGGTCCAAATTCTCTAACATGTCGGGGCGCACCAGGCCATCCGTACCAGCCACCTGTGCGGACGACGCCACTGACGAGCGAGCGCTATGTCCAGGCTGCGCACGGAGGCTGGCTGGGTTTGCACCATGCGCAAGGAGAAGCTTGACAATATCCTTACGATGCCCGAGGTTCCCTGCGGTGAGTGCGAATGCGAGTGCGGACTGTGGTCCAACGTCGTCGTTCGGCCCCACCTCGCCGCTTTCCAGCACGCGGCGCACCTCATCGACATTGTCGCTCGCGATGGCGAATAGTAGCGTTGGCCGCGGCGTTGCAATAGCGTGTGCGGGCTCGTGAAAGGACGTCATAGAGGACGGTCGGTCAAAAGCAGGTGCGGAAGCTGGCGGCTGGTCCCCATCCGCGCGGACGGTGAGCTCGGAGCTAGGGTTGGCGTCATTATCGTACTCTTCGTCTTCGGGTATAGGTCGGATTGGTTCGGAGAGTCTACTTGAAGAACGAATGACGTGCGAAAGTCTATGGGAAATGTATGAAGTACCGGGGCTTGAGTCGCGATTCCGAGAAGCAGATGAAGTAGCAATTGAAGTTGAACGAGAGCGAGAAAGCATCCGATCCGGATCATCCAGGGCCAATGAAGAATCAGCAGCAGGTATCTGAGTTGCCAAGGAATTATTGGGTATGTAGTGCAGTGGTGACTAGTAGCAGTATATGTTACTGACTTCGCCGTATATGATACGCCTAACGACTCACATATTGGTTATTAGATAATGAACGTTCCGATTGTACAGATGGTGATGAAGGTGAATGAGATGTAGCTGCGTTACTAGTCAGTTTACAGTAATCAAACAAGACGATTCAGATTGACATACCAGGAGTGAGCTCAGCGGTCCGTGGTAGAAACATGCCAGAAGACAAAGGAGACGAGGAGACAGCAGAGTTCAATGAAAGACTAGAGCTGGAAGAGTTCAATAGAATGGACTGTACACCCTCTGTTAATGAAGCTCCTGCTGTGAATGTAAATTCCACCCACCAATCGAAGCGGCCTCAGCTTGCCGGCAGATGAAGCCGACTCAGTGGGAGATAACAGGTCCTGCCGGCTATTGTTCATAGAATTGCTGCGGTTAAACGAGAGACCGACCAGCGCCGGGGGGCGAGAGCGCACCAAGGGTGCGCTGCCCGGCCGAGAAGTACTTGAAGGATCTTGTATTCGGGTCTACCAAACCATTAGGGTGCTGCGATGCATAATTCTAGAGTGGACCCACAGTAGTCGAGTTCCTGAACCCGAAAGCCACTTTGCTCGACTTTCGAGACGTCTGGCCCTCAGAGTTCGGCTGGAAGTCCGAGATTGACGACCGGCGGGAGGCAGCCGGCGATCCCAATGGCTCTGATGCCGCTGTTGCGGGGGGCGAGTCTAGAGAATACGGAGACGCTGCTTGCGCCGCTCTCGAATGGTCCGGACTGCGCGGAGCATCGCGCGAGAGCCTGCGATTTGTGGGCACGTCTTGCACGCTATTATCCTGTGCGTCGTGGACCAATATCGCTCGCGGGGACGCGTAGGGGCTGTCGCACGGCGACAGCAGCGTCGAGTCGCGTTCTAGAGGGTGCAGGAGCGGAGAATCCGTAGTATTAGATATGCTTGGCGTCGGAGATGATAGCCTCGCAGGCAGTGCTGACGGTGTCCGCCGCGCACTGCTCCTAATAGAGGACCTAGACAGCGAGCGGTCCGAGCGTGGCGTCGACGTCGCTCGCATAGATGCGGAGCGGGAGAGCACTGTACGCTCCGACAGGGGAGTGGACATGCTTCTGAGGGAGACGGAGCGCGAGAGGGTCGAACGAGGGGTCGAGTGACGGGTCGGGTCGGCCAGCGGTGCCTCGTCATAGAAGCTTGCATATGAGAATGTCTGCTCGGGAGAGTTGGTGCTTTCTGTCGAGACCATCTGCACTGGGGGATTCGCCAGTCGCGAAGGTCCTGCAACGGGCGACTCATGAATGCTTGAGTATGGGACAGCCCGATCTTCAGCGGTAATTGAAGTAGCATTTTTGTCGTGGGCTGACTGTGCTGGTGAGGAGGTACGTGCTTGGCTGTTAGAAGTATATGACTTTGGCTGCTCGTCACTTGAAGTTTTATCAACGTTCCCTACCGGCACCCGCCGCACAGGGCTGAGTTGTGCAGCATACAAACTCGCAAACGACACCGACCGCTCTTCAGCAGCATCCTCGGACTCGGTCGCAGCCGGCGGAATATTAGGATCAATTACCGCTCTGTAGTGGCTAGCATACGAAACGGTTTGACCTCCTGCATCCTCAGGAGCCTCTTGGTCCACTTCATTCTCGTGAAAAACAGGCGAATTCACGTGCGCTGCATACAAATCTGCAGACAGTATAGTATGCTCCTCGGCTTCGTGTTGTACAGGTGCTCCGCTTCCGACAGACTGTAGGGGTGAATGTGAAGATGAGGGGCTGAAGGGGTTCGAGAGCGGCTCAGGAATAGAGGTGGCTGGGAAGACGGGTGCTGCAGGTGACGGCGAAGTAAGATGAAGCGAGGCTGGACTGCGTTGACTTATAGCTGATTGAGAAGTATGGGCTGGGGACTTTGTGGTAGACAACTGAACAAGGCACGGAGATCCTGAGTACCGCCGGCTTGGGGAGCGTTGAGGGGAAGTATGAGGGGATCTGATGGGTAGCGCGGCTATTGGAGATCGACCATGGTCAAACGATGTCGAGGCTGGCCCCATAACGGTGGAGCGCGGAGCTGGCGAAGGCGGAGACTCGATTGAAGGCGGCTCGTCCTGAGTCCCGGGCTCAGGAGCAGCAAATGATGATCCCTCGTCCTCATAACCTAAAAGGAAAGGCGACGGCTCGAGCGGGTAGATAGTCTGCGGCGGTTCCGGCGATGCAGAGACATTGTGAACAGACGGCTTTGTTGGCGGCTGATGAATCACAGAAGATGCTGAAGACGAAGACGCCACATCCACGCCATGAGCCTTCGTTGCTGCAACGTGCAACGACGACGGCCGACTCTGCTTAATAGTCTTGTCCGGATCTGCGTCGGAAATACGACTTGCGTCCGAACGACGCTTGCGCTCCGCTTCGTACTTTCTCGGGCTATCAAGCTCATCAAATGATTGTGCGTATTGATGGTCTCCTCCATGATTTGAGATGTGAGGATGCTCAAACACCGACTCCGAGTTCGAAGTACCTGATCGGGGAGAACCAGGAGGCCAACCTGACAGCGCAGTCGGTGCGAATTTGGGAGAAATCGCACGAGCAGGCGAGCCGAACGGTGAGGAAAGGAGTGACAAGGTTGAGTAGCGTCCGGGCGTGTCTCTATGTGGTGGCGACAGTACAAACTGTTGGGGCCCAGTCCAGTTGTCAGCATAGCCAGAATCGACAGAGTCTTCGCGTTGAAATGTCTGTGGGAGATTTCCAATAGGGTGCCAGAACGGAGGGCCGGTCATCAGCTCAACTGGGGACATGATGTCGGTGCGTTCAGATTCGCGAACAGACTCTCCAGACAGCGGTTGCGAATTGCGATTGTGAGACGCGAACTCGTCCGACGACGACGAAGTCATGTGCTTGTCTTCCGCCAGGGGATTTAGACTGATAATCTCATGTTCTGCCTCAGCCTGCTCGTTCGCCGCTTCACTGAAATTACTCCGGCGTGGCGACACCTGCCCAAACATAGCATCTGGCGGAACGAGCTCTGCGGCGTGACGCGTGCTAGATTCCGCAGAGCTTGAACCATCGTCTTCTTCGTCCGGCTCAATGGCATTACCGAGAGCAAGGAGCAGACTTGACAGCCGCGGAGAACGCGGTGGTGACCGCACTCTACCAAGTGCGGTGCTAGGTGAGATGGGACTGGATGTAATCGAGTCGCTACGCGAAAGAGCAGGAGTAGACTGGGGAGTAGGGCTTGAGATTATCGTAATTTCTGGGTTCTTGACTTTTATTTTGACATCATGCAGGAAGTTGCATGAATCAGCGAACAAGCAGCGACCTTGGGAGTAAAATGGGCATGGTCGCGCTGCGAATATCAGTTTAAATTATCGCGATCGCGAAAAGCAAGACCTCAAACTTACTCTTACGCTTCCATGGAGGATCGGGGATAGTCATGGAGCAGTCATGAGAGCGTGGCTGCAACGGGCAACGATGTCGTTGGGAGGACGGAGCACGGTCTCAAGAATTACGCGCGGTAATAATTTCCGCCAACAACCCTTGGGAATGGAGGAATAAGGGTCTTGTCGCCAAGCTACCATGCAAATAGTATTCGCTAAACGCCCCAGGCTCCAGACTCAACTAAGTACTCTTGCACGTCTGCACTCGCATATTTTCCTTTTTTTTTTTTTTTTTGTGTTCATAGTGGCCCAGCGCGCATGGCTGGACGTTTAAGTCGGGTACCACGCTTGACGCTGTTCTCGGGACCGCAGTGCTCGCTTTGTGATGTGAGTGTCCCGTACCTAACTCTGCTCTTACCCTACAGACCTGACGAACGCTGCAGATTGCCAAAGCTGAGCTCGCCAAAGTCCGCCAGAAGCGCGAATTCGAGCTTCAGACGGTTAACATTCAAGACGCAGACCAGGAGGAGTGGAAGCGAAAGTATGTGTATTGGATCCCTGCGCTGCACATAGACGGCAAAGAAGTCGCGAAAGGACGTTGGGACGCGCAGACGGTCTTTAAGGCACTCGACGAATGGCGGAACACCCAGCAGCAGCAACAACAGGCTTCTTCTGGAGCCCCTATGGAACCAACCCAGAGCTCTTGAAGTACGAGGTGCCCGAGTACACGCGTTCTGTACACGCGACGCTGGGCTCAGAAGACGAGATTATCGCAGACGGTCCCGACGCGCGTCGCTGCTTCAATTGCGGCTCCACCGAACACATCCTCTCTGACTGCCCCGAACGCCGCAATCGCGAGTTGATTGCGCTCACACGACAGTTATACGACTTCTTTAAAAGTGACTGGTCTGGCCCAAACAAACGCATCCACGAGTTTGAGCAGTGGAAGAAGCAACGCGTCGAGTGGCTGGAGATGTTTGAACCTGGGCAGATCAGGAGTGCGGAGCTGCGGGATGCGCTAGATATCCCAGATGGCGATGTAGGCGAGTACGTGCCATGGCTGCGCAATATAGCGGACATTGGCTACCCGAAGGGTTGGATTGCTGAAGAAGATCCTCGAATACGTGTTTGGAGAAGAATCACGGGGAAAGATAATCCAGACGGTACCTCTGATGAAGACGAATTGGAGTTCTCAATTCATGGCGATACCCATGAGATGCTGACCCTGCCCACCAGGACTGGTCTGGTGGCACAAGACTCGATACGTCCGGATGACAAACGCACAGAATCTTTAGGAGACTCGCCGTCGAACGTCGAAGAAGGCGAAATATCCGAGTCTTCGACGACCGACGTGGTGCGCAGATGGGCGAACTATCCCGAGACCTACTTCTCCAACTCTCAACTTTTCGTCTACATACCACCACCTCCACAACTCGGGCTTGAGCCTTTGGATGATCTGATAATGACGTACGACAGCACAGCTCATGGACATTGGACTGATTTCGCCCAATTCGTCATGCCGTTCCTCCAACCTCCCGCGCCGCCTAGCTCCCCACCACCGCTTCCGCCGCCTCCGAGCTCTTCCCCACCGCCGCTTCCGCCTTCGCCACCTCCTGGGTCTGTTAATCTACCTCAGCCTCCCCCTTCTCTTTCTCCCCAGTCTTTGACGAAGTCATGCATCATAACCTCTAATAGTTTTGATAGCGAGTCCGACATGGAACTATCGGACTCCGATTAAGCGATATCTCCGCTTCCGCACTTGTACGTAGCAATTCTTATATCTTTAGGCATTCAGTATGCAGCATCAACCTCATGTTATGTTCGGAAACTGGCGACCATCTCTGCAGCTCGTGAACATGAACAGCTCCCTGCAACATTGGGCTACAATACGCAAGCGCCAAATGTCGGTTGCTAGCGCAACGCCACAAGGGCGCTCCCCGCCGTCGGTTGCCCAAATGCAACCGGACAACACAGCGCGTCACGCTCAATTGTGACAACAACGTGACCGTAATGGCCGCCGTCTCTCCCTTTCGGGCAAGCGTTGTAAGCGACGACAAAGTCCCTATTGTCTTTATACCCCGCGCATTGTTGAGGACAATAGTAAAAAAGACCATGACGACTTTTAAACGCGTGTTCAATGTACGTATAAATGTCTCGTACGAGCTGGGTGACTCTCATTTACGTTGGAAACGTCCCCTCGTATCCCCTCACTCACGCTCTTGCATTTTCCACCCACTCTCATTTTTCTTCTCTCGGTGCTGGAACACCTGACGCCTCTATAATCAGCGTTTTACTTTCGAAAAAAAGTCACTGTAACGTTATTCAATCATGATGCTTCCTCCACGCGCATGTGAGTACCGATATTCCCTTCTGCAACGCTGGTGGCTGACACGTCCTAGATGTTTTCATCGGCCTCAATGCCGTCCGGATTCTCAGCATTATTGCCATGCTCCTTGTGTTTGCGAGCTCAATATTTGTGCTCGTTAATGATGTGGAAGCGGTGAACAACTTCATGAAAAACGCCAGCGACCAAGACTTTGCAGACTGTGATTACATAGAGTACGTACTCACGTGATCGCAAGCGTAAGTCATACTCACCTCTTCTACAGGAACAGTACAGTTCCAAACCAACCCGCAGGCGTCTTCTGGGCAGTCGTCAACCGCCTATTCATCATTTTCCAGATTATTGTGCTCATCCTCTCCGAGGTTGGCTGGCCGCTTGCCTTCTTCGACCGGTACTTCCCCGTGCTGGGCAGTGGCTTCGGCCTCGGCCCACTGGGCGTGTTCCAATGTCTGATCGGCGCGACGATCCTCTCGCACCACGTCGACGACTTCACGCTCGTCGCCGCGTTCTTCCTCTTCGCGCTCGGCTGCCTCAACATCGTCCTCGGTCTCGTCTTCCGCGAGAGCGCCAAGGCGCGCCGCAGCTTTACGTCCTGGCGCACCGACGTGAACGATGCGCGCCCGCGTTTCGCGCGTCCCCAGTCCGGCTTCGTCGCGGGCATCTTCAACAGGGACCCTGAGAAGCAGGCCAGCTACGGGTTCGGCAATGCCGGCGAGAAGAAGGCAGGCCTCAAGGGTGCGTGGATCACCCGTCGCCTGTCCGTTAGCCGACGTCGCTGAATGACCCGTTTTGCACAGGCTTCCTCATCTCCCGCCCGCTCGAAACGCTCCCTCGTTTCGCGACACAGCCGCGCGCTGATCGTGATAGCGCACCAGAACCGCGCTTCAAGTCAAGTACGACCGCTATCTAGAGTACATGCGCATGCATGCATGCTCACGACGCCACACATGACCTCGAACAATCTTTTGCTTGTATCTTTGTAATTTTATCTCCAACACTCTAACTGAGAAATAGACTCTGCGAGTCCCTAATAGTGTACACGTGCTGTAGCTTAATAGATACCCACATGTATGTAGGATAGATACCACTCAAGATCTAATGGAGTCCGTACGATATAATATCTTGCACGTCTCGACTCGGGACCTGTGGAAATTTCTTGTCACAATTACGGGGTATATTGACACATTCACATAAGATGTACTAATAGCATCGCAGACAGATCGAAATGGAACTGCACACCACTGGGACCTCCAAAACTATTGCAAATAACGGAGTCGAGTCTCTGGAGGTATCACACAAGTAAAGGGCCAGAGATACTCGGTATTAACACTATCAGTGTCCGAAGTAACAACCATAAAACATAGGGTCCGGAGACATGAAACAAAGTCTTTTAAGCCTCATACGCAGGGGGAGCATCAACATGGTCAACAGCGTCCGACCTCGCCTCAGCTGCTTTTTGTGGTCGTCGAGCCTGCGCTATGGGCACGGCACCGGCATCTTGATGCTGGAAGGGCGCGGAGGCAGCCGCAGCCGCATCCACCGCTTCACTGGAGCTCGACGGGCCCGCCTGCCCAGGCTGCACAGGCGAGTGCTGGGCGCCAGATGCGGACCCAGACGCAGCGCCCGGGGCGACGTGGAGACCGCGGTCGGCACTGAGAAATACCGTCCGGTCTTTTATGTCTCCCGGCGGGAATGCAGGCGCGGTCGGCGCGAGGTTGCGCACCTGCAGAGCCCGGCGCCCGGCGCTGTGTTCGCTTGCGCTGGGCGCCGTGCCGCTGTACACGCTGCCCTCGCTCGTTGGTGCGGCTGGCGGGCTCGTCGAGCGTCCTGCGGCCTCGGTTGACGGCGGCGTGCTGCCCCATGGGTTGGTGTACCTGCTCGAGGCAACTGCGGGCAGATCCTGGTGCTGTGGACCAGGCGTCGCGGGCGCGGGGCTGTCACCGACCGCGCCATACTGATAGGCGTCGAAGGGCGTCGGCCTCTCGGGGGGCTCATCGAGAAGCGTGTCGCCGTTCCGATATTTGTCGTGCTTGACAGTCGTAACCGGCCATTTAATGTCGTCGAGGTCGTCGTCACGGTGCTTTTTCCGGCGGCGCCTGGTCATAAAGTCAATGCTTTGCTGTGGTAAATATCAGAATCGGATGGACGCACATGCAGAACCATGCGAGCAGCAAAATGGCAGCAAGACCGCCAATTCCGGCCACGACGCCTCCGACGATGGCACCAACATTAGAGCTGGATGAGTCGTTGTTCGTATTCGTAACAGGAACAGTGACTGAGGGTGTTATAACAGTCGTTGACGTGCTGGAGACGACGACCACTGAGCCTCCAGGCAAAGTTGAGGAGGACTGGATGATGGAAAATGAAGTGGTCGGCGGCAACGTGGATATGCTTGAAGACGTTGCACTTGACTGTGATGATGGTGAAGAGGATGAACTAGTCGTGCTCGAACTCGAAGACGAGCTAGTGCTGTCTCCGCTGCTGGTAGACGAGCAGGAGGTGGTGAAAAGTGTCGCAGTCGCAGAAGTCGTTGTTATCGGCACTGTGATGACCACCTGAACGCCTGTTGTCTGCACTTGTTCTGGAAATTTGTGAGCCCTGTAACTTTTACGGTGCGAGAGAATACTCGCCTGGACTTATGGTGCTCACTGAATCCACGGTACTACAACCCGCATTGCCGCTAGCTCCCGACGATGTTGGACATACGGTGGTTTCGATGGTGGTGAGGGATGCCGGGATGGTTGTCACACTTTCTTGCGTCGAGGTCGACAGACTAGTTGTCGTGATAGTGGCGAATTGTGTAGCAGTCGCCGACGTCTGACACTGCGACATGGTTAACGTTGTGCACCTCGAAGTGGGCGAGAGGAACACAACAGAGACAGGCAGAAACCCCTAGGGCCACTCGAGTCCTTGGCGAGGGTAATAAGGTAAGGTAAGCCGCTTCGCGGGACAATGAGGCCGGACCTGCGGAAGATGCTCATAAGGACGGAAGCGATCGCATTTACGCACACGGCCGTGATGCCCAGAACGGACGTCTGGCCTCGCGTACCTGCACTAGTTCCTCGCCTTCATAGTTCACGCCTGCAATATCTGGGGGAGACGTAGACGGTGGGGCGATATGTGAGACAGACAGGCTCTGCTGTGGGGATGGGATGCGTGCCAAGCATCAGGATGCTTGGCTGTGGTAGGCTGTGGTAAGCCTCGTGTCACGGCGAGGGATGCTTGGGTAAAATATAGGGCAAGACAAGAAGCGGACAGACACCAGGAACGGGGATAAATTCCTGTATATGAACAAAAGTCATGGGTGCTAGCAAAGAGGCCGGCGAAACCCTGCAAAATGAATGGCGGCGGGATCGGCATGTCGGGCTTTCCCAAAATAGCAAGGTTGGCGGGTGCCGGCGCTTTGGCCCGGAGCTATTTGCTCTTGAATCTTGACCATGAATTCGTACTTTTTTTCTTGTGCCACAGATAGTGTGTCAGATATGTGCTGAACCTTCCTCTGATTGTCTACGCCTAATGCAGATTCACTGACCCTCGAGGCTGAACACATTGTGAGGGTCCTGCCTTATACTCACTCGCTAGGACACAGCTCATCGGATGGCAATTTCTTACAGCCTGCATTGACTATTAATACTTAGAATGACGACTTCGTGGCTGAACTTCGTCGGTTACTAGTGTCCCTACCGAACTAGATGTGCTCTCAATGGCCTTACCCCCCCCCCCCCCCAACTCCGCGCCTGCCTTAACGCTCAGGCGTGCCGCTTCTTCACGCTCGACACGCCGCGGACGCCTTTCGCTGCACTAGGGTCTACAAACAGCATGAACATTCTGCACAGATGGGCCGCATATCGTCCTGGGGCGTGCGTGGCGTCGATAGCAAGCATAACCTTCCAGCCACCTATCATCCTATCTCCCGCTACCCTCGGGGCAGTTAGTGTTTGCTGCATCGAATGCGGCTATATACGTGCCATCGTGTCCTGGAAAAGAAAGACATGCGGTCGATTGCTCTGTGAGTAATAATATATGATACCTCGTACGGTCCTGTTGCTCAGGTTCGTCTCACTGTTCAGCTCTCTGCAGTTTTTGAACCCACCACCGCATATGCCCAGTCGCTTTGTGCGTCCCGTCTCCATCAGCCGTTGGGTATGTGGTACACGCCTCATCGCGTTTCACGCTACCAGATTACGACAGGTTATCTAAAGATATGCGAAGCTGCTATAACTTAGACTTTGGACTTTCGCCCGCTAAGCTGTTCCGGTGCAGACTCAGATAATTTAGCGCCAGGATGGATGTCATATAGACGTACGCCCTGGGCACTCGACTTTCCCAGTGGTAAGACTACACGCTAGGTATTGTATGCTCCAAACACCCTGAGACCGTTGGTGGAGTGACATCCCAAGCCAACAGCTGCCTGGTCGCAGGCGGCTTTCGCTCGAATGTAGAGCAGCGCCTTGATGGAGGAATCAATTGCCTCGGCCCTGTGGCTCTCCGATCCCTAGCTGTTTCAAGCCTGCCGGCTCTGTGAGCGGGTCAGTCACCTGTGCCTTTGATCGGGATTGGTTCCGGTGAGGACCGTTATGCAACCCCTGGATTCTGTCATTTCCAGCAAGCCGCCGGGGGACCGCGATATTAAACTGTCTAGCTGTCCGTAGCTCTCCCCGAGCATTCGTTTCTTATCCGCCGGACACACTGCTTGTGTGCTCCCTACGCCGTTATGGCTCCGGAAAGCCTGACCTACGGGGCTCTGCTCGTCGGGGGGCTTATCGCGCTATTGTACGTGGGCACTCAGTGCGAGGCTCCCCCTGTTCCTGACATGGAGCTACAGCTTATCAGGAGTAGTGTCGACGCAAGCTTTCTACTATCGTCGAAGCTACTTGGACGATCGGTTACGAAATAAGATAATGGTGAACTTCAGCTACTGTTCTCGACGGTGAATGTCTCCTCACCGCGTCGATTTAGGTGCTACTTGTATGGTGAGCTTGCTGTTCATACCGTGTCGTTCGATCTCTCATGTCTCTCAGGATCCTTGATCTCCTGCATTCGTCGTTCGTCATAGCTTCGGTCTTTCGATGTCTAGTCAATGGCATTGGTAACCCTTTGGCCATAAGACGCATCGCATGGTGAGTGATGCTGAGTTACGTACTTCATCGATGGCACTCAAAGCCATACTCTTCGTCAGGGAAGTCAGCGTGAGTTGCCGCGGGCGAGTGCGGTGGAATTTTTACTGACGCGCATCGGATACAGGTGACAATATCCATCACGGGTATCTTGACATTTATCATACACCTGTACGTACATTCTTCGCTCCCGTTGCTCTTGGCTCACTGCTCGCATGATAGGTTTTTCACGCATCGAGTATGGACCTGTAAGTCTCCGCCTTTATCGCACTGCAATTCCGATTGATCCCTCGTTAGTGAGCAAGTGCAACAAGGCACTGTCGGGCACGATTGTATGTGAAATTCGACCTTCCCACAATCTTTGATGTCGCTCATCGCCGGCCCCCGGGAACAACATAGGCTCTGCTTGCGTTTCTCCGCATGTGTATGTCTATATGTATCCCTGTGTGTGTACTGACGTTGTTGATGGATTCTCCGCAGTGAGTGCATTCGGTAAGTATTTTAATCTGGCTCTCGCTCCCGAGTAAACGCTGAAGACGACGACTGTCAGGTACTGTAGTACAGATGAGCCGGTTCAAGACCTGGCAGGGCTTTCACGATGGAGCTGGAGTAAGTTACTGCGTTCGTCGCTGCGGTGATTGCTGCTCATCACGTACAGTGGACGTTCACGACCGGCCTTGCCATTTCTGCCTCTGTGGACTTTATCATTGCAACCTCGCTATGCTACTTTCTGCAGAAGCGTAGGACAGGTTTTAAAGGGTAAGTTCGTCCGACCTTCATTCGTTACGCAGCGCACGGGCCGTGCTGATATTCGTGTAGTATGGACGAAATCATAGATTCAATCATCCGGTATACGGTGGAAAGCGGTCTTTTGACATTCACCCTCACCGTCGCGTCGTTTGTTTGCGTACGTTGTTCGCGAACAGTGATGCTGGCTCCGCGCGTCCTGATGAATGCCAACAGTGGCTTACAATGCCGAGTAACTTCATCTTCCTCGCGCTGCATTTCTGTATTAGCAAGAGTGCGTTCAAGTCAATCCGGATTGACAGTAGCATTAACCTTCAGGCAATGCAGCCTATGCCAATTCGTTTCTGGCGACGCTCAACGCACGGTCACATATCAAGGAGCGGGCGGGCAGCTCGGCGGGGCGCAACAACAGTATCCGTCTCGGGACAGTCTTCTCTACAGGCCATCCGCATACGCCGCGCAGTCATACTGTGAGTACATCGAAGTACTCCACGAAGTCGGACGCCACAGCTGAGGTCGCCGATATCAGGGCCCCTCCGACACTGTGAACACGACGAACACGGTCAGTACTTCGTATCTCGTCCCTTATGTGCGTTTTTTTTTCACCGTCTTTCGGATGTCTAGGTACAGATTACAGTCGAAAAGTCTGTGCACTGTGTCACGGACGTCGAATCTGCCGAGCCCGATCCCACGGACCTCGAGCCCGTGTACGCCCCGCGCGATGGCAAAGATGTACCCTTCAACGACTTGCACAAGCTGCCCTAGCTCACGACATTAACGACCCTCTAGGCATAATCCATATCTTCTTGTTGTCTTACCGCTCGCTATCTTCGTCACGTTCTCATTTGTATACTGTCCCATCGCTCTGGGCTCGTGTGGGCTCGCATTACCTGCGAATGTAAGAGTAGTATGTGTAGATCAGAAGGCTATATATTATTTAGATTGTGCGGAGATCTTGTGTATAATAGTATCTATATCTTGGCGGGACCTCGAGGCGCGGAACGCTAGGTTTCCTCATGCCGCTAGCTCGATCAAACTTGCCTGTGCTCCCCCGTGAGCTCAAAGCCACCTCTTCAGAGCAAGTTGCTTCTCTCTGGTCAAACTACGGCTACATTTATCGTCTCCATCTCTCATCCGAACCGCACACTTTAATATTCAAATCGATTCACCCGCCCGCGGTCGCACACCCTGACGAGTCGCACCTCCGAAGGCTGCTCTCATATGACGTCGAGCGATGGTTCTATCGGCACCTTACCTCTCGCCTGCCTGAAACTGTCAAGGTCGCGAAAGACTACCCGTTGCAGAGCGACGCTGAGCACAGCTTGCTCCTTGAAGATCTTTCGATAGAGTTCCCGTACCCCGCAAGCGGAAGCCTGGACAGGGACGCGACTACATGCGTCTTGCACTGGCTTTCCGGCTTTCATGGCACATTCTTCCGTACCCATAGCCGCGAAGGTGCGGTAAGACTCCCTCTGGTTCCGCCGCCAATGCAGTGGAAATCAGGCGAGTCGGCCGGGGTCTGGGAGCGAGGGACCTACTGGTACCTTGACACCCGCAGAGAAGAGCTGGAGCAGACCAATGAGGACGATTATAGCTGGCTCATGCCCTGGGTCGAAAAGGTACGTCTTGTCAGCCTCTTATTGAATTTACTCTAACCGTCTGGCCGGTAGGTGAACGACGCGGTCAACCATGAGGTTGAAGCGTACGGCACGCTCATGCACGGCGATGTCAAGGGCGCAAACATTGTATTCAATCGAGATCCATACCCACGACGTGGAGGCAAGGCGTCGTCATCCGCTACGGAATTGGCTCTGTGCTGTGCTCTATACGACTTCCAGTACGTAGGGCTCGGCTTGTCCACGCTCGACCTAGTGTACTTCCTGGGGACATCTGTGGAGCCAAAGCTCTTGAGATCTCTCGCGGATGAACGCGAGATACTCCAGGAGTACTTCGACAGGTTCCAAGAAGTCGCTGCTCGAGAACCAGCCGACGGATCCGAATATACTTTCGACAAATTTTGGGCGCATTGGGAACTGTCTATCGTTGACTGGTGCAGGTTTATGGCAGGCTGGGGCTTTTGGGGGAACGACCGGTGGGTCGAGCGTAGGGCGAAAGGAATCGTGGAGAGTTGGGACACGTCAGATTTCCCTTTTCTGGGGCCGCAAGCCTTGGGTAGCTAAACAGTGTGTAAGACTTACATGCGGCTATCACCTCTAATTCTCTCACATTACGGTCACTTAGATGCCGTTCAGTTGAGGCGGATTTGTTCTAGCAGTGTATACGTAAATGAAGGTATCATTCTAGCTTTGGCACCTGTCTATCCTTGAAGGCAGAGTCAGCGCTATTCAGCGCACGCTAACGTCTGCTACCTTGCAGCGTGCGGATGTCTAATCTCGAAAGCTTGACGGCCGTCGTCCCTAACTGTGGCAGTGCGAAAACCCAGAACAAAACAAAGAAAAGCGTAAAGTGGAGGATGGCGCCAGGGGGCGAATGTACCTGACAATTGCTTCCCCGTACTCTTGTGCGTGCGCAGACTTGCGCGAAATAACTGCCCGTCGACGACTTCTAGATGCCCATCATATCATAAAGTCAACTCTCATATAAGCCCTCCAAGACTGTAGGCCTGTAGGGGTCATACACGCGCCAAAAGATTCTAAACTGAACCTACACCCTGCAATGGTACTTTAGTACGGTCAAACTAGCCGAGAAAAATAAAGACGGAGTAGAAGAGGAGACAGAGGGATAGACGGGGAGTTGGCACAGGAAGGGTATGAAAAAAATGGTATACAACAGCGGCAAGGGCACAAGGATAACAGGAAGGGTACGCGATACAATACGGTCACGGCGCAGTCGATAATATGAAGCACAGCTTTCAGACCTAGTCGCGATTAGAACGAGCGCACCTTCGTCGCGAAAAACAGAGTCTCACCAAGGCAGTCATTCAATACCTCACAGCAGCCGCAGTCTGCGCGCCATGGAGGCTGCTCGCGCGACGCGACATGCGCCAGTCGCCGGTGCCCTGGCCGAGGTACTGGCCAGGGTTCTTCAGCGGTGCGTTGCTGCGGTCAAGGCACTCGAGGGGAACGACGCCCTGCTCGCTGTGCGAGTTGAGGCAAAGCGTCCAGCCGTCATCGTACTCGTTCAGCACGCGCACCGTCTCGCCAACAGTGACCGATAGCTCGTCTGGCAGGTTCGGGATGTACGTGCACCGGACGCACGCGTAGTTCGCACCCGCGGACGCAGGACTGAGTGAGACCGCAGCGCCGCCAGCTGTGAGCGTTGGGCTCTGCACCGGGGCCCCGACGGGGAGTGGGTTATTGTACGACATAGGCGGAGGTGTGAGCGCGGGCACGGTCGGAGAGGCGAGAGTAGTGAGCTTCTCGGGGACCTGGGGCGGGTTTGCGCCATCGTTGCGGAGGTACATCTTCTCAGAGATGTCGTTCTCACGGTCCTGCCCGGGGCCGAAGTCGGGCTTCGGCCAGACAAACGTCTCATGACGCTTCGCGCGGCGGCGCAGGAAGATCTTGCGGATGACCCACACGAGCATGACGACTGCGGCGATGATGGAGACCGCGACTATGCCTCCGATCGCGCCTCCAGAGAGGCCTTTGCTCGAGGTAGTGGACGCTTGATCCGCGCCGCTTGTCGGAGCAGCAGAGCCGGTGACCGTGCTCGAGAGGGTGCCAACGAAAGAGTTGCCATTATCGACAACGGATGTGCTGCTAGATGGTAGCGGAGTGACAGATGGGTTTGCAGAACTAGCAGAGGAGGCGCCCGAAGAGTTCGAGCTAGTAGCTGAACTGGAAGAAGTGGAAGAACTTGCAGTAGACGGAGCCGAGGTTTGCGCGGAGGAGCTCGTCTGGGATGACCTCGTCTGGGCCTGCGTGCTTGACTGCTGAGCGGAGGTGGGCGTAGGCGTATTGGCCGTGGGGGGAACCGTGCTCTCCACAGGAACGAGCACTGTTGCGATATTGGTTTGAAGGATGGTGGTGAATGGCAGCACGACGCTGTTGACAATTGTCGTTACACTCTGTGTAAATCCTTCCCCTCCGCCAGCATCTCCCAGAACTGGAATATCCAACAAGTCTGTACCATCTCCCACATTGCCTAAATCAAGAAGTCCGGGACTGCGAGGATAGTTGTCGCGTGGAGTCTTTTCTTGCGCGATATCGTTGCCAAAGGATGGAAGTCGCGCTAATTGACGTCGGTGCCGGCGCCCCCGCACGGCGGGAGATAAATGGCTCGAGGACATTGTTGATGCTTTGTGAGCGTGATGCAAAAGGAGCGATGCAAGAAAAGAGCGAACGTCGAGCTCGTCGACAGGGTCGATGAGGGCGGGAACAAGGGCGAAGATGTTGGCTGACCACCTCGTTTTTGTTGCACTTGGGGCGCGGTGGGAACCGCGTGACGGTCATATTTGGTGACTTTTTGTGACATCTGAGACAAAGACTTCTGTCACAGCATGTCACTCCGTGTGCCTGAATAGGTTTCCGTGGAAACCACGACGGCTACTTAAATCATTCGAGATCATTTCATTTGTATACGTTCTCCGTAGACAGGAGCTGGCACGCATACATCGAACGGTACTGAGTCCCTGCGGCTGAGCAAGCTCGAGCAAGGCTTAGCGCTTATGCGTCATGGGAATATGAGCAGTGTAGTTCCCATGCTCGCAAGCAGGACGGTTGATCTTTCGCAGTCTAGACCACATGTGTAAGGGGCAACACGAAGAAGCGGCAACCATCTGCCTCAAAGGCAGGAATATGGTATGACGACTGACTGAGTAGCATGTTCAAGTCACTGGACAAGCCCGAGAGTAATCGCCGGGATTTATGCGAGTGTATCTCAGGCTGTTCATGCCTTTACAAGCATGGGCGATGACGATTCGATGGACGTTGAAAACGTTGAACATTTGAACGTTGAATGTTGAGCGTCGAACGTTGAGCGTTGAACTCATAACCACGGATGCCATAATAAGTATATAACCTCGCCAATTTTAATAGCGGTATCATGAGCGAGCAAAGATACGAAGGTAGAAGATGCGCAGCAAGACGGGACTAAGGGTGGATATGATCGTTCATGACGATATTAATTATGTAGCAAAGATGTTTGGGCGGCAGAAGCGAATAGGATAGCTTAGCGAGCATAAGGGGGCGAGTAGCTGTAGGTTCTATTCAAGCTAAGCGAACAGCCTACATAATGGGTATATATGTATTGATAGCAACGCATGACTTACAATGAGCCCACAGGATGCACTTCGCATTCTTCGCATTGTCGTCCTAGTGCGCTTGAGCAGAGCAAGACGAGGCGGCTCAAGAAACTTTCGCCACGTTCGGCTGAAAAATGACCTTCCGAGCAACGTAATCTCAGCGAGTGGAAGCCACTAAACGTGAGCTGGCCTCGCAAAGATAAAACCGGTGTAGGGAACCTTGGAAGCCGTTGTGAGAGAAGGACACGGATCATGAGAATATACAACCATGGGATTCACCGGAAGCAAATCATCTGACCAAATGTACACGATAGAATGGTACCCGGAGACGGGCAGGCGGGCGACTTCTTTTTCAACGACAAGAAAGCCGAGCGCTGCACATTGACTCGATCGAAACAAGCAGCTGGCTGCGGCACTAAAACTCTTCGATCGCGACACTCCACATGCAGGGGCAGCAAAGGTCTAGTCCAATGGTGAACTGGTGAAACGTGAACGGGAAGAGTTGCGCCCGCCAGTTCCCACCGCCCTTCGGCCGCTGGATATTGGGATGGATAGACTTCACGAGACAACGCTGACCGCAGGCGCTTCGGCTGCGCTTGGGGGTGACTCGGGTGACGCTGTGCATAGCACTAGTCAACATGCTTTAGCTGAGGGCGGAGTACTGTACTCGGAGACTGATGGCCCCAAATACATAACGCAGAGCGTTGCTTCAGCGTGGAGATCCGAGACGTCGAGTTGTACGTAGAGTCGGCTTGCAGGCTGACATCCAGCGCGCTCGAAATAGCAGGACGGGCGTAAGCCCATGCACTGGCTCGCGTAAGTCGGGTACAAGCACTAAGGGGAAGTTCCCCAGCGTCGTAGGTCGTTGTACGAGCTGTGTGCAGCGCGTGCGCACGAAATGCGAGCAATGGTGTCGGGATGTGTTACACGTCGGATGCTGACGGCGAGGTGAGAGCGGAAAGAGCGCCGAATATGTCAGCACCGTCGAGGGCCGGACGGGCTGCGCAAATATCGGATCGAAGTACATTTTTAGCCCAATAGTGCACTGCATGTAGCCAGTTTTACGCACAATATTTCCCGAGATGGTCGGAATGCCGTCAAAAAAGGCGCGGAGGCGGATGACTGTATGTGATGACACAGACTGTTTATGGATGCCGTACCCGTGCCAAGCTTACCGCTCCCTCCGAGTCCGAATGTGTTCACCCTGATGCTGACCACAAATTCGCCCACACCGTTCTGACCTCTCTCTTACCTTTACCACCTTCTGCCATCGCTGCACACCCTTTCGCTCGCCATCGACCATGGCGTCGAAGAGCATGGCTCGCTTCCGTGTGTGGTACGCCAAGTGGGTCGTCTTCTACAACAAGTGGGCCGAGTACAACGTCGAGACCCTATTCTCCCGCAAACGTCCCCTCGCTCCGCCCCGCTCGGTCCTCGTTCATCAGGACATTCCCGCGGACTGGTACGACAAGAAGCAGCGAGTCATGAAAGATCACGTCTTTGCAACGAACCAAGTTATCACCTCGAAGTATACCGTCGTCACCTTTGTCCCTCGTAATCTCCTCGAGCAATTCAGGAGGGTAGCCAACTGGTGAGTGACAGCTTTCATGCATCTCCGTATCTTGCAGGTTTTGGAGCATGTCGTGGGCTTCGACGGGGACGTTTATCTGGGCCAGTACACGGAAATGCTTCGACGCGCAGTGCGTTCACCACGCCGATAAGCCAACATCACGAGCATACGATTTTCAACATCCACTTTACGTGTCGGTAACGTCTGCGCTTGCCCGTAGTCGCTACCCTGCGCCGCCCCTGCGTCGGTGATCTTCGGCAATGTGCAGCTACGCGCGACTCTTTACGCCGTTCCCACAGCCACCGCCGGCCGACGAGGTCTGCTTCGCGCACCCGCCGTCTGCAGTACCCCACATCTCTTGCGTACAATCACACAGTCCTTTGCACCCGACTTGCCTTCGCTATCCGACCATTTCCCCTTGTGATCTGCCAGCGTCTCACAGATGTCGGTGTCGCATCAAAAAGTACTCGATCGGACTCTGCAGCCGTATCGCACTGGAGCTTCGTCCACTGGGCCGAGGCTATATACGGCGCCACAGTGACGTCTCTGGTCTATCCAAGACCTGAGCTCTCCTTAGCGATGTTTCGGGCCCGTGCGGCGCGAGAAGCGCTACCGATGCTATCGACCGGCCGCATCCGATCGTTGCAGTTTGCTTGGGGCGGACTTGACACGATTTAGCGAAGCGAGTTCCCGGAGCCCATGACATGCTGTTTCCTCCCCTGTGTTCTCGAAGCGATTGACCCGGCCGTTGCAGAGCAAGCGCCGAAGTACTCTGCGTCCTACGGGACGCTGGGTATATCGGGAGACGCATGTGTGCCAGGCTTTCGCTTTGAGGCGTTTGCTTTATTTTCTCCGTTTTAGGGTCGCTTGTGGACGGTTCAAATTACTGATCACATACCACCCACAGCTTCTTCCTGGCGATTGCTATCCTGCAGTTCTTCTCGCTCTTCTCAACTGTCTCACCAGGATTGGTCATCCTTCCACTTCTTATCGTCCTCGCCATTACGGCGCTGAAGGATGGCTACGAGGATATCAAACGGCATCAAAGCGACCGACAGGTTAACTACTCCCAAACGCGCGTACTCCAAGGCGGCGACTTTGTCAACCCGAATCCCATGGAAGGCAAGAGCAAGACTTTCGTACGTGGGCTCGTTCCGGCCCACAAGCAAAGACCGAAGAAATCGCAACTCTCAGGCGCAGCGTTGCAGGATCGTACGGACATGTTGGAGCATGGTGCGCCTCCAGAAGGCATCCCAACACACCCGCCGCAACCCGCTGGCGACAGCGAAGTGCCGGACGGTATCGAATACGACGAAGAGGAGCCGGCGCAACAAGACGGTCTGTTCCACCACCACTACGGCAGTAAACGACCACACTGGCAAATGACGAACTGGGAGGACCTCAAGGTCGGCGATTTCGTCAAGATCGTGAATAACGAGTCGATACCGGCCGATATACTTCTCTGCGCGACGTCGGAAGATGAGAACGTTGCGTTTGTCGAGACGAAGAATCTGGACGGAGAGACGAATCTGAAGAGTCGTTCCGCGGCGTCACAGCTTACCCAATTGCGTTCGGCCTACGCGTGTGCTGATAGGCGCACCTCGTTCCGCGTCGACTGCGACCGTCCGGATACCAACCTCTATAGTCTCAGTGCGGCCGTCGTCATGCCCGACGAGGAGAAGAGTCCCGTCGACATTCAGATGGTCCTCCTCCGCGGCACCGTCCTGCGGAACACCCGTTGGGCAATCGGACTGGTCCTGTACACCGGCGAGGATACCAAGATTGTCTTGAACTCTGGAGATACCCCGAGTAAACGGAGCAAGGTCGAACGGCAGATGAACCCTCAGGTGTAAGTTCCGTAGTCTATTCTCGAATGCTAAGCGCTGACGTGCAACAGTTTCATCAATTTGGGCATTTTGGCAGCCATGGCAGCTGCCCTTGGTATTGCGGACGCTATCTTGGAGCAGCGCTACTTCCCGCTCAACGCACCATGGCTGTTCCGCGACACACGAAACGACGATAATCCGCACATCAACGGCCTGATTACCACAGTGTTCGCGCTCATCACATTCCAGAACATTGTCCCTATCTCGCTGTACATTTCCATCGAGTTCGTGCGGACGATCCAGGCGCTATGGATCTACTTCGACTACGAGATGTACTATGAGAAGACGGACACGACGACGCTTGCGCGGAGCTGGAATTTATCGGACGACCTTGGCCAGATTGACTACATCTTCTCGGACAAGACGGGCACGCTCACTCAAAACGCCATGCTGTTCAGACAATGTTCGATTGGTGGGCGCGAATACAAGGGTGATCCCGAGGTTTCCGAGGACACGCTGAGGGTCAAGGAGGAGACGTTCCTAACAAAGCGTCTGTCAGGCGACTCCGCGACCGCGAGGGGCTCTGGCGCATCCGGTACACGCTCACCCACTAAGAAGGAGTCGGGGTCGTCGTTCGGGTCCCCTGACTCGCGCGGGACAACTGAGGTTAAGCTCGCGCAAGGTGTCCTCAAGCGGTTTAGGGATCATGTGCTCTCCGCCGACATCTCTAGGGCTGCTGCCGTCAACGCAGACTCAACCGCGGAGGACTACTCGTATGCGCGTATGCTCCACGGATTCTGGCTCACACTTGCACTCTGCCACACTGTCCTGACTGGGACGGATCCCGAGACGGGCGCGTTGGAGTACAAGGCACAGAGTCCGGACGAAGCAGCACTCGTGCAGGCCGCCGCGGATGTCGGTTTCGTATTCCGGGGCCGCGAGAAGGACATTTTGATGGTCAGCACGCCGTTCTCAGAGGGGATCGACCGCTACGAGCTCCTGAACGTGCTCGAGTTCAATTCGTCGCGGAAGCGGATGAGCATCATCGTGCGCAAGATTGACGACGACGAGCAGAACGGCTTGTTACTGCTGTCGAAGGGCGCGGACAACGTCATTTTCGAGCGCCTCCGCTCTGGACAACAGGAACAGCTCACGGAAGTCACCGAGGACCACCTGTCAGACTTTGCGAGCGAGGGTCTGCGGACGCTTACTCTTGCGTGGAGATCCATCCCTGGTTTGTCGTTTATCCGCATTGATTTTGTTTAAGTTTATTGAAAACTCTACAGAGGAAGAATACGAGGCCTGGAGCGAGATGTACCACGAGGCGACAATTGCGCTAGAGGACCGTCAAGAGAAGATTGACGTCGCTTGTGAGGCGATCGAGAGGGACCTCAGCCTGCTTGGCGCCACTGGCATCGAGGACAAGCTGCAAGATGGCGTGCCTGAAACTATCGCTGATCTGAAGGAAGCCGGCATCAAGATTTGGGTTGCCACAGGCGACAAGCTTGAGACTGCGATCGGTATGTCGCTACCACTTTCCTGCGGCTCCATGTGCTAATCCGCCACTCTAGCTATCGGGCATAGCACGAACCTTATCGGCAACGACGACAACGTCATCATCATTCGCGGCGGAGGCGAGCTCGGCCGTCCTGTGTACTCTCAGATGGCGGGTGCTGTCGACGAATTCTTCCCAACGAGTGGTATCCTCAGCGAACAGGGCATTGCGGACAACATCCAGTCGGACACAAATCCCGGAGGGCAGTACTCTCTGCAGCGCGTTAACACTGGCGTGACTTCGATCGTCGGCCAGGACAATGGCAGGCGGTCGGGCGGATATGTGCTCGTCATCGACGGCGCTGCGCTGAACGAGGCACTTTCGGACGGCACCCACAAACAGCTTCTCCTCCGTCTTGCGATGCAGTGCGAGGCCGTCATATGCTGCCGAGTTTCCCCGCTGCAGAAGGCGCTCGTCGTCAAGCTCGTCAAGGACGGTCTCCATGTCATGACTCTTGCAATTGGTGACGGTGCGAACGATGTCAGCATGATTCAGGCTGCGGACGTCGGTGTTGGTATCGCAGGTGAAGAAGGTTTACAGGCTGTTAACTCGTCAGACTACGCGATTGCGCAGGTGGGTCACTCTTTGAGTTTTGAATGATAAATGAGCTTATGCACGATCAGTTCCGGTTCTTGAAGAGACTGTTGCTCGTCCATGGACACTGGTCATACGCGCGCAATGGCAACATGATCATCAACTTCTTCTACAAGAATATCGTGTCTATCGGGATTCTGTGGTGGTACCAGATTTACTGCGCGTGGAGCAGTCAATAGTGAGCATTGTGCCTAGACTATATCTCACCCGGAGTCTGACAGTTCTTCAGCGACTTCGAATATACGTATCTACTGTTCTGGAACTCTTTCTGGACAATAGCCCCGGTTATTGCGATGGGTCTCTTCGATCGTCCTGTAGACGACCACGTCTTGATGGACTTGCCCGAACTCTACAAGCATTCGCGCCAAGGAGAGTACTTTAACTTGAAGCTCTTTTTGATCTACATGCTCGATGGCATATACCAGGTATGCACTCTGTTCGCTCATACCGCAACCTCCCCTGACGCTCTTTTATAGTCTGTGATCGTGTTCTTTTTCATCTTCTACGCCTACTTCTCCCCATCGTCCCGCAGCGATGGCTACGACGTCTACCTCTACGAATTCTCGACCACGATGGCTGTCGGTGCGGTCATGATCGTCACCGTCTTTGTCGGAATGAACATCAGCACATGGACAAGTTGGGTGTGGTGGACGCTCGGAGTTGAAATTGCCCTCATCTGGGTTTACACTGTACGTCCGTATTCTCTCCTAAATGGTCTGCTGGCTGATTTTGTCTGCAGGCCGTCTACTCTGCTATTCCACCAAGTACCTTCTCTACCCCTATCTACGGCAACGACCACTACCTGTTCCACTCTGCCTACTACTGGCTGGGCCTGTTCTTCATGACCCCTCTGGCACTACTTCCGCGGTTATGCGCGAAGGCGTACAAGTTCATCTTCCACCCGTCGGACATGGACCGCGTACGGTATCTGCAAAAGCTGGATCCAGAGCACGACTTCCGGAAAGACCGTGAGCAGGGTGGGATAGCGTACATCAAGCGCAGCGTGAGCACTTCGCGTGGCGTCAAACGCAGGTCGATCATTCAGCGTGGTCCACGCGCGGGAATGGGCAGCCGCACGGACATGTCTACAGGCCTGCGAAGCCACAATACTGGGTTCGACTTCTCTATGGAAGAGAACGGCGTCGCGCTCCGCAGGCTGCAGAGCAACCTCTCGGGGGTGCAGCAGCCCGCGCAGCAACACAAGCGTCGGCGGACGCTCCTATCGAGCATCTCGCGCGCGGTTCGCCGGAAGAAGACACCAAGCACCGTGGCCGAGGAGCCCGTCGCCGAGGAGTCCCGGCCCAACTCACCAAAACACTGACACACGACCTGAGACGAATATTCCACTGCCCCTAGATCTCCCAACCTGATTGTGTTTTTATCTCAGTCCACCACCCGATGTTTCAGTATTGCTCATCTACTGCGCTCTCTCGTATTATATTTTTCGCTTCCCCATCTTCTCTGTATCCATCGGATGTCTATCATGGGTAGTACAGGCACACTTACGATAATGACGATAATGAGTTCCTTCCGCCGTTCCTCCTTTGTGCTTGTAGGTGTCCGAATACATATGTACTGTAGTCATCCCCTTATATATTACTGCCGTATCTCCCTTGGAGACAAAAGAAGTAGCACGGATGCGAGACTCGCTCGCGCAAGGCGGCCTTACACTGCTTACAAGCCCAGCTATTATTGCGGATTCAGGGCTACCAGCACAACGCTCTAATAGTGATACGCTGCTTCAAATCCACACAACGGACTTACTCAATGCTAGAACTTGAAGCCACAAGGGTGGCTCTGGGTTTTGATGAATTTTAAGCTCGACAAGGCTCACGCGTCACGATGGGGGGACCCACTGACAACTATCCAAATGCAGAGATATCGACACTCCTTGTGGAACGGCGTATTGCGCTGTATTCGTGCGGGAGAGCGGCGTTGCGGTTTGTTGCATGATGCTTTACATGACGTTCAGCGCATTAGGTTACGACTGCCGGAGTCGCTAACATTCGCTGACAGGTTCTGGGGTGGCGTGGGAAACCCGTCGGCGGTCTGCTCATGAGCACAACAACCCATGCATTGGTTCTACAGCTGTATATCGTACATTGCGTTTCTAATCCATACCCCCTCCCCCCTCCTGCCGTTTGCCGTCAAGCCCTTCTCACCTTGGTCAGGATTCCTTGTAGACCTTCTACATCATGCTGATCGCTGTTTGTGTCGATGTTCATGCGGTTGGCCTAGAGCTCTGATCCCAACCTGCGGCGGAAAACGCAAGTGGTGGTCAATTAAAGCCGTTCTGCGCTACTTGTAGACATAAGGTATGGTAAAGGCCGCGACAAGCGCGATGACCGCAAGCACGACTGCCACGATCGGCTTGCTCGTCGTGTCATCAGCTCGTTTGGCCGCTGCGGCGTCCACTTTGACGCGCTTCGGCCGCGGCGCTGGCTCATACATGGAGAGCTGTACGTACCCGATGGACTTCAAACCGTGGACGCTGTGGACAGGCATCAGATAATGCGCGATTGAGGGAGAGCAAGAGACATACTAATATCCGTTAATGTTGCGGTTAATCTCATCTTCCATGCCCAGCGGGACACCGGCGAGTGACCACGTCACCTTAGTGTGATCGCTGCCCTGGTCGAGCGTCGTCGTGAGGGTCGCAAAGTGGCCTACGGATTGTACATCAGTCTCGGAACGTGCGAACAAACATACGCGAGGGCGTACCGTCCGGCCAGGTTGGGCTCGAAAGCGCCCACGTCTGGATGATCTCCTTTGGCGAATTAAGCGAGACGTACTTGCCCTTGACACCACCGCCGAATAGGAAGTACTCAGTGTCGGGTTGCGCGGTCGACTGTTCGTTGGTCAGCACATCGGTCGTCTTAACGTTCGGGGCGAGTGGAAGTGTACCTTCGCGGGAGCGCGTGTCCACGAGGGTATCCTGTTCTCGTTGGTCAGGATAGAGAACAAATCCTCAGCAGAGGCCATGAACGTCGAGTCGACGGAAACGGTGGTCGAGTTTACCGCTTTGGCATCCTTCTTTACGGCCGGCTTAGCCGTAGCTGCCGCGCTCGAAGACGTGGCAGACGCTGCAGCAGACGGAGCGATGTTCGAGGGTGCTGGCGTGCTCTGGCGGCTGGGCTCGGCGCTGATGGTGAGGTCCTTACCGTGAGTGTTGATAATCGCAGACGGGAACTCGGAGAGCTTCGTCTCCAGCGCGGTCGGGAGACGTGCCTTCGCGAGTTCGAAGACCTTGTCGACGGCTGGGCTCCGCGCGGTGCTTAGGCTCCAATGCCACTTCATGCGAAGTATAAGAAGCAGTCTATTTGTGGACGAACAGAGAGAACGCACCTGGTACTCTGAGATGCCATCGAGGGTAATCTCATGAGAGACTTCTGGGATGGTGAGCTTGCCCAGGACCTCAGTACCGTCTGCAGTCTTGCCAGTCCACTTGAGCTCAACCTTACAGTCGTAGATCGTCAAGAGTCTGGGATGGTCGCTCAGACTTCGCCACGTACACTCAGGCGGAGGCGAACACGTACTTAGACTTGCGCTGCCCCAGCTCGACATCTCCGTCCACTTCGGCGACCTCTGACACAAACACTTCTTCTTCCCCATCACCCTTAACGGAGACAGTCGTGAGCTCGCGCTCGAACCAGTTTTTGGCCCATGGCGTCACGTTCTTGTTCTTCCAGTGCCAGTTGGCGGTCGATACAGCCATTGGCGGTGGAACAGTAGCCATGCTTTTAGAGTGAGACTGGTAGCGAGTAGAACAGGACAGGCACAGAGCAGGAGATGAAAAGTAAAAGGACGGCACAAAACTCAATCCAACGTCGTGGTCGCGGTTTATGAGATGCGCGCGACTTGACCGCCGTCTCGAACATTCTACCGCATTCGACTGCCGATGCTTGGCGCAAATGAGCATAGAAAATGCTTCTAGTGCCCGAAAATGATGCTGAAGCCAACTGCGAATATATTCAGACCATAGAATCATGTTTGCGACCCTGCACAGCGACCTCCCGCAAGTTCCAGAGGAAAGCGCTGCGTATTAATTCCAGAATAGGAAAGCGTCGGGATCACAGCTGGTCCAATGATACTTGGGAGCGTAAGCATTAAGGAAGAACGAGTGTAGCGGCAGTATATAACAGCGGGAATGGAAACAACAATTCAGTCCTGTTATCCTGTGAAAACGAGCGGTACGGACGAGAACATCCAAGAGGGTATCGGGATTTTCAAAGGAAAAACAACGGGGTCACCGAGAGGGAATGAAAGAATATTGACCTAGGCACTCTACGGCGCCGCAGGGCGGTTCGTCTGCTCCTTCAGCGCAAGTAGCTGCTTCGAGCGGAATGCCTCGTAGTGAATCTGCGCCGTCGTCTCGATGAGGTCCTGCAGATGTGTCCGGGTCAGGAAATTCCGCAAGTAGACAAACTCGCAGTGCTTCTCGTTCTCGACGTTGATCACGCCCCAGCGCGTCTTGCGGCCACGGACGGTCTTGCCGTCGATTATTACGCTGCGGTCAGAGCCGACAACGGCGAAGGGAGTCATGGTCTGTAACACTGTCGGTACCATATGCCATCAAGTTTGTCATGCACGTACCCTGATACTCTCGTTCAGCTGAATCTCCTCCTCGTCACTCTCCTCCGTGTCGAATGGATAGAGACGGATGTTATGGTACGTCATCTCCGCGCGAATCTTCTGCTTGAACGCCTCGCGCTCTTCGAGAGTCAGGCTGTCTGCCTTCGCAACAACAGGTACAACATTAACGACTTCGCTTAGCTTCTTCATGACGATGATGTCAATGGCCCGAAGCGAATGGCCGCTCGGGTTGATGAAGTAAAGTGCGCAATGGATGCGGGTATCCTGGATGTGCCGGTCGCGCATCGCGGTCAGCTCCTTGCGCAGATATGCACTGTGCTGGTCCTTAATATATTTAATGATCGTATCCCAGCTGCGAGGGTGACACAGCCATCAGCCAACGTTTTATGCACGCAGAATGCAGTAATGACACACCAGCCCTCGTTGTTGATCTGGTCACCATACCCGGGGGTGTCGACGATGTTCAAGCGCAAGCGAACGCCGTTCTCGACAATAACTATCCAACACCCTTTAGAGTACGTTCCATGCGTGCCAGTGTACTGCACGCACCATGCGAGACTGGGTGAATCTCCGTCGTCTGCCTCACTGGCTCTTCAGCAGCAAGGCGACCCTTCGAGTCGATGAGGTGCGAAGCGAAAATGGTGTTGATGAGTGTCGACTTGCCCAGACCGGTCTGACCTATTGACCTTGTTCAAGCACTGCTCGTGTTACTTTGAAGACTCGGCTAAGCACGTACCAACAACGATCACGTTGAACTGGAAGCCACGCTTCAAGAGCTTGTGCTCAATCTGAGCAGTGATACTGTCGAAACCGACATAGGTCGACGCGCGGATTTCCTCGGTGGGGGTAGCGGCAGTGCTAGACGACATGGCTCTCTGCACCGACTGGAAGATGAACAAGCAGAGACGTGCGAAGTAAAGGAAGGAACAGACTGTTGATGCAGTGATGCGAAAATGCGCGTTTGGATGGACTTTCAAAGCTCGGCTTACTGATGCTAAGCGGAGTTTGAACTGTAGACTAGAGAAATCAGTAATCACGTTGGCAGACGTAACAACTGCCTTAACAACGGTTCAACGGTCAAGCATTTGGCTCTCCTTCCTGTCCACAGACTCGATCGTGCATCAAGACTGTCTCAATCATACGTAGCGACAACTCATCACTCATTGATTCACCGCGGCAAAGCTGTGTGAATTGTCAACAATCCTTCATTCTACCGCCACGCTACGTCTTGCGCCACATTTACTCTTGCTCTGTAACATACCTACTTGTCAACATCTGGATCCTGGGCATCTTGGTGCTCGCACTATCTTCCGCTGGGCTATTTTGTATGAATATTTTAATACATGCTTCAACCTCTCACGCTCGATATATGTGCCACGGCAGCACCTTGGTTGCCAGCCATCTAGAGCAGTCATTCAAGGTGCGCTCCTGGGACGAACAGCAATATTGTACTCTGCATAACCATTCCACTGTTGCCGAGGACGCTCACGACCTCTCGAGATACAAAGCTGAATACTTTTGTCTCCCCGAAACCCTCATCGGTGAATTATCACCGGACACCGTTGCTTGTACTAAAATAATGGCAGTCTTCTTGGTATGTCTTGCGAAGACACATAGACGACTCAATATCTGGACCATGTCGGCTGTTCTCTCACAAAGCGTTCGGATGGTCCAAATCAGCTGTGTCCATTTGTTCGTCAAGCCCTTATAACTCGCCCCTGCGTAAGCTTCGCCCATACTCGAATTCAAAATTCATGGGCACTTGCGCGCTCAGCAGACATCGAAACCGTACAAATACCTCTCAGCTGAGGCAGGCCGTCGAGCAATCGGGACTTGTCAAGTTAACGCCGAGGCAAGCAAGGGCCCAGTATGCGGCCATGTTGCGTGCTCATCATTCATGACCATTCCAGAACGTCCATCCTCGGCCGCCCAGGTGAATTATACGACTATCTTGAAGACTATTGCTCAGACGCAGGCTAGAAATGAAATGCCATGTCCAGGCTTAAGGCCGAGAAGACAAAGAGCCACTGAGGGAACTCTTGCGCACCAGACCTCACGCATTCAACAGATGTATACGCGCCATCGAAGCATCCGGAATCGGCTTCGGCCTCGTATGCTTCGAGCTCTTGTTCTCATCGGGGAACTGGCACGTCGTCTCACGAGGGATACCCGAACGAGGTCACGGAATTTGTGCAGTTGGGCTACTATCGTTAAACCAGTCTTTTAAAACTTGCCGTGCGTTAAAAGACTGGTCCTCAGCACCGTCCACTGGGCCAAAAAATCCAGGGATTTTTCGGCGTATAAAATAGTGTATACTATGATGTTCTTTCACTTTTTACGGCGGAGCGATGCCTTGGTAGTGTACAGAAAACGAAAAGGTGGTGCGGAGGCCCAGGATAGCTGCTGATGGGAAGCGTGACATAGCCGACCATAAGCGCTGCTCACTTGGCAGCATCGGGTTATTCAAATCTCATTGTGACTGATGTGACCATTTTTAAAGGACTGGTGCCATCGCCCTGCTCTGAGAGCACCTACGTTAAAACACTGTGCTGCTCTTGCGACACCCGTCTAAATATTCGCAGGAATTAAGGACATTTAGCTGAAATGCTGGCTTCTATTTCAGTGCCATTTTTATGCTATCAGGCGGAGGGACGCGAGCTCGGGAATTTATTTGGCAGGATCGTTAAAAGACTGGGTTAATGATAGTAGATGCCCGAGACATTAATGTTCTGGAAGGCAAGTGCTAAGATTGGGTCCGGCAGTTCCGGAGCGTGTTTCGAGCGAGGATTGCGCATATATAGTGGTGTACGAGGCGGCGAAAGCGAGGCGTAAGGCTGCGCTAGAGTTGCTGACCACTGGGAGGACGATGCTATATGGAACATGAGCTCGCCGACTGTTGGCTGTAAATTATTAATCAAATCTTACTCCTTTCATCTACAGGGACGTGCAGACTCCTGGCCGCCGTCCGTGGGGCGATAAGTCGCTTTATCTCACTACGGTTGTGCTATCTTATCTGCGAATTGCTATTTCTGTTAATATCATCTAGGGACGTGCAGCTTTCGAATTCGGAGGTTCGCAAATAGCTATCATCGGGTGTGCACGGCAGAAGCAGTGCGTTCACTACTGACGATTCGGCGCCATCATCGTAAGCAGCCTCACAGTGAGTGTTTTCAAGTACTCTTGAGCTTCTGGTACTCATTTAGGCTGATAATTTAATTACTCATGCAGAGAAAACAGGGAGGGCTAACCCTCTCACTGTGAGGCTATGTCTTGCGGCACGAGCGAGTATACGCCGCCATGTACATGGAATGCGCCCGTTGTCAAGGCTTGACCTAGTGCGGGACGCCAACACGCCACCAGGTTGTTCTGAAGGAGCCTGCAGCCGTGCTCCAGTGCGCCTCCGAGACATGTCCATGACTATGTCGGATACCTGCTCGATGCCTGTGTGCGAACTTTCACCAGTGAGTCCGACCTGCACCACACGGCAAAATGACGTTCGCAAATAAGGCGTGCGTGCCGCACCGCAGCCAACGAAACCACGTCCTCCGCATCAATCGGGCGTCACGAAACATCGATCGAAGCAATGCTTGCACCTTGCTATGCACGTTTCGCTTCTGCCTCGTGGCAACCCGCAGGACGTGTGGGAGGCAGCGAGTATATCTTTAGGCGGAATGCTGACGAATGTCTTCCACCCGCTGTCGTTTCCTCCCTACATCCGCAGGCAATCCGGAAAACGCACCAGGGCTAGAGCGTTAGAGAGCCATGCTCCTCGGCAGAACGACCGTGTGGTATATGCTACCCTTTGTTACAGCTGTTTTTGCACAGCTCCCCAACACGTTCCAGTGGTCGTTTGGCGGACTTGTGAGTACATTCTCAACGAATCCCATCCAGCTCATCACCAAAGTTCGTAGTTCGCACCTCAGCCACTCGAGGAATGCCAAACTCTCCAAATCGTCATCTCGCCGTTCGACAGCAGTGATTCGCCTGCATCAGCTGGCATTCCACCATTCTATATGCTTGCATTCGAGCCAGGAGGCGTTCCAACCACTTCCGCTCTCGGTTCAGATCTCACGCGGCTGTTATGGCAGGTCGATCATGTCCGTGGTGCGTTGGCATGACGCTCATTCGATGACTTCTCACGTTTAACCGCTCGGATTTAAGGCTCACAAATCATGCTTGCCGTAATAGACTCCGCTGGAAACACAGGAGGCGTGTCAAAGATCCTCTTCGACGTCACTGGTCAGTTTCTTTATACTCTGTTGCCTTTTGGCGAATACTCATGTACCACAGCTGGCAGTGATACGTCGTGTCTTTCTGCGCCTTCTCCTTCATCCGCCGTGCTCCAGGCCAATGTGTCTGACAGCCTCTTCGCTTGTCAGCCATGGGGCCTCGCAGTCACCGGTGGCAAGCAACCGTACACTGTAGTGCTCTCGCAACTTGATTCGGCCGCTATCATCGTTGCGACAATGGAGGATGGCGATGATGTGTTTACCTACATCAACCGCGGCGATCCTGGTTGGCAGATGATGGGTAAGTGACTTCGCGGTAATATCGGATGCAGACCTAACAGTTACATGCTTTAAGCCTCCGTTTATGATGCGTAAGCTATTTTATCTAATCAACGTTCTCTCAACACTGACCTATCCTAGCACAGGGCAATGGGGTACCTCAACGGGCGTGGTCCAGAGCACGAGCTCCGACGCTACTTGTCCAGGGTTAGAATCCTTACAATTCGCTTCGAGAGCCGGCGCGAGCGATGGGGTTTTTGCTCCGACGATCAATTTCTTTCCGCCAGGGAATTCGCCGTCAAGTCTAGCATCTGTTACAGCTAGAGCCAACGACTCCACTCACATCTCTGCTACGCCATATCCTAGTGCTATGGCGACTGAGTCGACAGTTGGAATACGCCCCGGTGCCCAGCTAGTCATCGGCCTGTCTTTGGGAATTGGCATCCCGCTCATTGCCGCCCTTCTGGCTGCCCTTTGGTTTTACACTCGAAGGCGAGAGAAATCTCCACGGTCCCCCCTTGACATACTTGCATCTCCCATCGATATCAACCGATTAAGCATGCGCGATGCTATTGTCGCCACGCCATTTGACTTAAGACTCTACTTGCTTGGCTATTCGCGGACTCCTTCAGTACCCACGGACACTGAAGCAGATTCATCAGCAGCCCCATACGCTGGTGGCCGCGGGCCCGAGACGTCTCAGAGACGCCATTCGAGATCGTTCAGCTCGTATGAGTTTATCGAGCCGGTCTTGCAAGAAATAACGGCCCCGTCCCGAACAAGTACATCCACCGACTTCGCCGCCGGACACAACCGATGGTCTACCGTTCTAGTTGACATACCTACCCCAACGAGATCACCTCCACCTGTAACTACGGTCACACATGAACAGAGGCGCCGCGTCGCCCAAGTCTATCTCCGACCTTCTTCTCGAGGCTCAATCTCGCAGCTGATGCATGATCCTGAGCTTCAGGACGTCATTCTCCGAACTGCGTCTCCTGAAAGCATTGCCAGCCACTCTGGCGGCGGCGAGTGGATAGAAACGGACGATTCTCATCCTCCAGTATCACGGTAGCGGGGTCCCGATCGTTTGATACCTCCTTCGCATTACGAATACCAAGAGTTACAGGCTAATGTTAATTTAAGTTATTCGCTGGTACGCTTCATGCTTAATCGCCTAATGCCTTTGACATCGAAGTTGACCCTTTATCGTCCGAATAGACGAGATATGTGCTGAGAGTTAGGAAGCTTCTGCCCAGATGCAGGTAGAGAGAGATACTATTACCCTGATGCAAAGGCAGAATAGCATGCTGATTCTTTCTATTTATTCTTGCAACAAACTGGACATGTGCGTTCCTGGTTCCCGCTTCTTGATTGAGTCGCACGCTGATGTGCGGAGTCGATTCTTTGACACATACAGTGCATGGTCTAATCTGTAGTTATCTTCAATTACATTGCTCCCAAGTTTCGCCGACGAACCGCCCACCACCTTGTAAACTCTGCATCGCCTGGTCGTACACGAGGTGATCATTCTACAAGTGGCCGTGCTATCCTAGGATATCCCTGGAGCTTTGGTGCTTCCGTGCAACAGCATCGATCCTCACTTCAAACTTATCCAGCTTCTCCCTCCACTTAGCTGGAGGATTACGAGCACCAGGAAATTACATTAGCAACGACACCCCTGACCTTATTGCTGCAAAATGCTGTCCGTTTTGCATTACGATACATGCAGGGACATCCGAGTAAATGCTAAGTGGGTTGACTGGTACAGAGTCATCGCCTCCTGGCTTGCTCCGTGTTGGTGAGAGTTGCCGTATTATTCCGCTCTGTATAAGGCTAACTGCTGTGTCCACGCCGTATAGAGACGTGTCGAGGATACACAGCCTCTATGCACCTTTATCAGCCCATGACGAGATACCTATAGGCACGAGCTTTCCTGATCGTTACAGCCTTTCTTCGTACCCAAGGAGCGATTCATATTTGTAGGACTGTTGCTTAAGCTTTCGCTGCTTCCCTCTCTCCCCAGATCCTTCACAGCTTGTAAGACACCTCAACAACGTCGCGACCACACAGAGGATGCATCCCGTCTGCTTATCCGCCGCGATGGCTCTCGCTGGTCTAATAGCAGGTGTTACTGCCCAGCCACGTCCAGCGTTTCAGCGGAGCTGGGGAGACGCCGTAAGTCATTGCATACCGCATTTAACGCCACACTGACAGAGAATATAGGCTTCTCTGGATTCCTTTGAAGAGTGCCAACTGCTGTCGGTAGTCGTCGAGTCGTTGGACAGCGAAAACTCGTCCGCTGTCGGTGTTGCACTATACTATATGTTAGCCTTCGAGGCTGGTGGCGTCCCGACCACTTCCATGATTGGTTATGATCCGACAAACTTATGTTGGCAGGCGAACCATAAGCAAGGTCAGTGAGCGTTCTGTGTAGCATTTAGCCGGAGATCTAACTATCCGCGCCGAAGGCTCGTCGCTGATGCTGATCATCGTCGACTCTAATGGCAGCGCAGGTGGAGTGCCTCAGCCGCTTTATAGCATGACTGGCACGTCTTTCCGTCACTGGGATAGAGAGATGACTGACACTTGTCCAGCTGGGGACGATATATCTTGCCTCAAATCCCTTCCTTCATCCTCGCTAGCTACAGTACACGCCAACGTCTCTGACACGGTCTTAACATGCGAACCGCTGGGTCTCAGCATCAGCGGTGGTCAAAAGCCATATACCGTTGTTCTGTCTGAGATGCACTCCGACACTATCACCGTGGTAACCTTGGCCAATGATAACGATACATTAACATATATCAGCCGAGTTGACCCAGACTGGCAGCTGATTGGTGAGTATATCATCTTCTGTAGTAATTGTATGTCTCGCAGTTACTGAATCTATGGCATAACTCACAGCCTCGGTGTATGATGCGTAAGTGTCTTTTTGAATCTTTGTAGGAAGCCTATTGAAGCTTTATAGCTCTGGACACTGGGGAACTTCAACCAACGCAATTCGCACGTCCGGGCCGGAAGACACCGCATGCCTTGGACTGGAAACCTCACAATCCAGCTCAACAGGCGGCGGAGGCGAGCCCATGTCTTCGTCAATACAACCCTTTCCATCAGGCACCTCCGTCTCACCGCCTGTCAGCAGTCAACCAGGCATCGTCCCCACGCTCTCGGGCAACAGCAATAAACATACCCAGGTCATCGTCGGTGTCATAGTGGGGGTTGGAGTCCCTCTCCTTCTCGCGGCAGTGCTCGTACCCTTGATACGACGCTACAGACGACGAAGCTCTGGTGTAAGGAGGACGCCCCCAGACCTTCTCTCTTCGCCTGCCATCGAATTTGACCCCATACGCTCGAAGAAGCCAAACCCTTCACACTTCACCGTTCTCCAAGCACTTCGCACGAAGAGCCAGCGCCCCCTCTAGCTGCTCATGCGGACAGCAACAGCGCAGCGACTTCTCACCCTTCCCCACCCAGCAATCTCTCGCAGCCCACTGTCGGCGAGCAGCCGTCCAGCCATGAGCCGTCCCCGCCTATGCATCCATCTGCTATATCGCCCGATGCACCAGTATTGGGAAAGAGGAAGCTTCGCTTGGTGAACGACTACTCGCGTCCTGCATCGTCTTCGACCGCTTCGCTGGCTCGGTCGTCACACGAAGCGTCAGGCCAGACACAGAGGCAACAATCAAGCACCACAGGTACCGCTAGCCGTGCAGAAGAGGTGCCCCATTCCCCGGAGGTCCTCATCCAGCACCGTGATGGAGGTACCGCGGCCCTTCAAGAGCTTCCTCTGCCCTACACGGATCTCTCCTGACCTTCCTCGTCCACGTTTCACCATATTTCCTCCACGGAATGACGATTCTCGGCGGTTTTGTTTCGGCATTTGTTTCTATTGTGTGTGTCAAATGTACGTCACGGCCCGGGTTCCCAAGGTATCCGTCGCGTCACTTGGCACAGAATTCCCAGCAAGCGCACTATCACTACAGAATGGATGTGGTATGTTAGACACGCTCGTTTAGCTTCGAAGATGGCCCATCGTCTCCTATTATCTTGGAGGGGGCCGCGTCGCCAAGGAATGCAACGTGAGTCCAGGTGCAGATGAACATTCTGGCTTGTTGATAACACCCGTACCACGCAGGTCGTATTGATATCTTGCCAAACCCAACCGAAGACGACAAGATATAGTGTCTAAAATTATGTTGCCAAGTTACCAGCCTCGTCGTAGGGAAATGGACCGTAGTGTACGTCGCCTATCTGTCGTTCGCGGCGAAAAGTATGGCCGTCCAGGGATCCCAGCGCTATCTCGGCTTGCTAATTCCTGCGCAGAAGTTTACTAGGTATATTTTGAGCCAGTTGACCAATGAGTGTGGTACGTCCCCTTAGTCTCTGGCTTGGGTGATATCACAGACCAATCAGACGCAGCGACCCGGGGCATTGCTGACGACCAAGGTAACACGTAAGCTGAACAACAGAGGCAGGGCAGATAAGGTTTATGCATCACAGCCCTGCCTGTGATGTGGCGAAGCCGAACAGTTGGCCGGAATTGAGGGCTAGCCCACATCCCGCAAGACTCTTCGAGTCTACCGGCCTCCGCTGTTCCCCAGTCAGTGCTGAGGGTAAGTGATAACGAAGCCCACACTGGCCCTTTCGCCTGCGTACGGGATCAAATGTGGGAGTAGCCCTCTCAATATCCGTCCGGCACCGGCTGCTGCGCTATCAGTGATGTCCGTCACACCGTCGCTGGAGTGTGGGCAACACTCATTGATCGTTGAGGCACGGCCTCCGCCGCCAAGGTATCGCTAAATATACTAGATGGATGCTGGTTAACGTTTTCGCTTTCGCTCTCTTCCTCCACTCCCCTCATACCTTAGCCTACCGCGCATGCCGCGTCTTGTTAACCTCACTTCGGTCATCTATTCGCTGAGTCTGCTTTCTGCCGCTCTAGCACAGATTCCGACCGCATTCAGATGGGGGTGGGGCGAAACTGTGGGTAGCATGTCATGTTGTCGGGAGAAGAGACGACCTAATTGCTGTTTTACCCAGCCTCCCTCAGGATCACTTCAAGAATGTCAGAAGTTTCAGGTTACAGTGGGGTCATTGGACAGCAGCAAACCTCACCAGGTTGGGGTCTCGCCCTATTACATGCTTGCACTCGAGGCTAGCGGAATACCAACGACCTCCCTCATTGGTTCCGACCCTTCCAATCTCTGGTGGCAGGCAGATCACAGCCGTGGTGAGAAGATCTCGAAAAGATTGATAGTACTTGAGGATAATGACATTCCATGTTGCCAGGCTCCACTCTTATGCTCGCAGTCGTTGATTCAAATGGTAGCACAGGAGGAGTTTATCAGACCACGTATAGCATGAGTGGCAAGTCATCGCCGGTATTATCGCTGCTACTAAGACATTTACCTGGATAATGTTACGTAGCCGGGAGCGATACATCCTGTCTCTCAGGAATGCCCTCCTCCACGACAACAATTACTGCAAATGTGTCGGACTCGCTAACAACCTGTCAACCGTGGGGTCTATCGATGAACGGTGGCCAGATGCCCTACACGCTAGTATTTGCCCAGCTCTCGTCGAATACGCTCACATTTGTGACCATGGGGAAAAACGACGACCTATTGACGTACATCAATCGAGCAACCCCAGGAGATCAGCTAATGGGTCAGTCAGGCAGACGCGTGTGAACGTACAATGCGCAGTGCTGACTAATTTTTCTCATAGCCTCTGTATACGATGGGTGCACATACTTCTTTCTTGATCTATCATTTCATTATTAACGTGGCAACAGTACAGGAAGATGGGGAACATCTACACCTTCCCTCAACACGACTGGAGACATTGAAGTCGATTGCGGAGATTTATTGACCGTGCAGACCAGCAGCTCAGGAGGGCCAGAGACTGAAGTTACTGCTACTCTGATAGTGAACCCCGTTCCATCTGGCACAAGCGTCAGTCCACCGTCTTCAACAGCTGGCGCGTCGAGCGGTACCAACACGGCAACGACGACCAGCTCAAGTTCCTCATCCAGTCAGTTCGCGACCGCAGCCCCGAACCCCGGCAGTCACACGTCCGTCGCGCTGATTGCGGGAATCTCGGCCGGCGTCGGCGTACCTGTACTCCTGGCTATCGCGGCCGCTATCTGGTTCTGCACACGAAGACGCAATAAAGTGCAGCACCAGACGTCGCCGATAGACATACTACAGAGCCCGTATCCGCACTCTATGGGCTACATGCGTGAAGCGGACAGTACTGTTAATGCTTCATTCACACCGTCGTCGAAGTCTCCCATGGTCAGCCACTCGCGGCAACCATCCGCGACGGCGTACCCAGAGTCTGCGCCGTTCTTGTCTGCGTACGTGGAACGGCCCAGCATGGTCGCGTCGGCCTCGTCGCGATCGTCTGGGTTCTACCACGCCCACCACCCACCCCGATCCGCGACACCTACACAGTCGTCAGACATCGCAACGTCGGCTCGTACGCAGGTTAACGAGCGTCAGCAGGACGGGCTAGGCGACTTCAATCCATACGCTGTTCCGCTCACAGTGCCGGGGAGCTCGTCGGCACTGTCCTCGCAGAACGAGAAGATGCGTATAGCGAACGGGCGCATGAATGCTTCTGCATCATCGAAACAGGGAATTACGGGGTCGCTGTCCCCGTATCAGCCTGCGCATACAGGAGAAGACACTGCGGACCCGCCTAGTACAGCGCCTGAGGAGATCATCGTCCAACACCAGGACAGCGGTGTTACCGTGGTCAGAGAGCTTCCTCCTCCGTACGCTGGCTTGCCCTCGCGCTCTTGAGATGTTCTTGCATTCGATTTCGTGTTATCATGGACCATATTCTGGGCCCAGTGCAGACTCTAAATTAATCGCTTTGTGACGATGCGCCACACTATGTGATTTTAGCTGTTCATTTTTTACTTACGTAGGGTTCACGAGGACTGTTGACGTAAATGAGTCAGATGTGTACCGTACGCTGCAGGCTCACGCGGGCTTGGTTCAGCATAGTGAAAAGATACGAAGACGCCTACAACCTCTCGCGCCAGGACTCCAATCTCAAACAACATCTCATAATGCATGTCCATACAATACATGGTTGGATAATTCTCTCACTTAACATGGTCCAGTCCAAGATCCTTCATGTACAGTAAGCTCTATGGCGGGTCTAGTGGATAGTGGAACACTCTCCGACACAGCTGCCACGCAAAGCCGAATCCACGCGCAAACACCGCCGCTGTCGCTCGCACCGTCCGGGGTATTTCCAGCGGCGGGATGTCAATGTGGATCGGCCAGAGGAAAGGCAGGTCTCGGATGGGCAGAATGGCGTCAGTAGGTGATGCAGACGGCTCTGGTTCCGGGAGCACCGTGGGCATGAGCGTTGGTATTGAGGGCGCAGGATCGCTCGCGAATATACTCGTGGATGTGCTCGTGGATGTGCTCGTAGATTTGCTCATGAATGTGCCAGTAGACGTGCTCGTGGATGTGCCAGCAGACGTGCTCGTGGACGTGCTCGTGGATGCACTCGCGGAGCCTGAGAGCACGGGCTCCGCCGCCTGTGAGGGGCGCAGTTGTGTTGTGGTCTCCGGCTCCGGGATAACCGTCACGGTGGAGACTGAGATATGGGTCGAGGTGACTGTGAGCGGCAGCGGCGCCTCGGTCGAAAAGGCGGCAAGAGAAGTGGATAGTGCATCGAGGGCATCCTTCATCTCACCCCGTTCGGCGATCAGTACGCGATTTTCGGACATCGTGAGCAGCGCAATACTGGTCGGAATAGTACAGATGATGACGGCCAGGATGGTCCATAAGCCAGCCGGTGAGCTGGATTTTGTTTGTCCAGGTGGTGGGATCGGGATAATAGTGATAGTCAGCTCCGGATGGAAAAGCTCCTCCACGTTGCGTCGGATGAGCACACTGCTTTCGGAGAACTGTTGCTTGTTAGGGAAGTTGGACCGTGTTGGTGTAATCGTGAAGCCTAGTGCGAAAGTCTTTAGCAGTGCATGCACGGCATGATAGACATACATAACATACCTTTGGGCTCTGGGACTCTGACCTCCATCTTTCCAACAGGCAGCTCGAACATTGGCAGCAGCACGTCCAACATCGCCGCATCTACACCTTTGCCCTTCCCCTTGCTACTAAACTTCTCCCCAAGGCGCTCAGGCATCGATACCGAGTACTCAACCTGCACCTTCCCGCTTCCGGCGTCTCCCAGGTGCACCTGCACCCACGTCATGCTCTCCTTGTGCGCCTCCTCCTCGAGCGGGAACCCCAGCGCAGGCAGCTTCTCGCCCGGCTTCTCCACCGTATTCGTCTCATAGTGCGCCGTGGCACCATCCAGTGTGACCTTGGTGATATCCACCTTCGGGAGCGCTACGTCCTCGCTCTTGCCCGCGACTGCCACGGGGCGCGGTAATCCAAATGCAAGCCACTCCGTTTCACCCTCGGGATCCTCATCGACTTCTACAACAAGGCGCACTTCGTACTCTGTTGGCACTGCGTCGCGCTCGTTCGCGAATTCGGGCGTGATAGTGGCCATGACGTGCGCGAGTTCGGCCTTGCCGTCCGTGCGCCGGCTGCGGCGTGGCGTTGTCGAGCGAATGGACATCGCAGACGACGGCCGCGAGAATGGCCCGCTCGGCGTGCGCCGTCCGCTCATGTCGACGCTACGATCACGCCCGGGCTGGTAAGAGCGATTCCTTGGCGAGGTGATCGTGCGGATGGCGAGTCGCGCGCCGTCATCGCCCAGCTTAGTGTGGCCGCGCGGATGCACGACAGTCTTGCGCGTTTGCGGGTCAGACAGACTTCCCAAAGCGTTGTAGACGTCGAGCGCGGAGCTGGTCGTGTCGTTGCGAACGATAGTCGAGATCACTTGCTTCTCTGCGTACACTACCCGGAACTGAGGGAGCACAATCGGGTCAGGCTCGTCCTCGGCGTCTGTGCCAGTGGACGAATGGCGAAGGTCGAAGGATTTCTCTGGTGGTTTGACGAGCACGGTCCCAGTGATAGTGAAGGTGAAAGTGCTCGTTTGCGGAGGGACCATGCGTCCGGCGTCAATGTGAACGGAAACAGGTACTTTGGGAGAGAAAATCTTGGAGCCAGGTTCTTCCTCTTCAGGCGCGAAGGATGATGCGCGGCTGCGCTTCTCCGGGCTGGATGGCACAGTAGTCACTACCGACGAGTTTACTGAGGAAAGCGACGTATGCTCGATGCTTGGGGAGGTTTCTGATAGCGAGTCTTCTGCTGAGGGCAATGGGGCGCGTAGCAACGACCCACTTGTGCTTGCCCAGCGTTGTTCTTCCCTCCTGCTAGAACCTGCTTTGCCATTTGGAGTAGACGACTGTATGCGTATGGACGGGGCCTCCGAGCTCATGGAAGGTCTTCGTGAGGGCGTCCGTGGGGGCGGAGGGCCGACCCAGCATCCGCAGAAGGACTTTCCTCCGCTGACGGTCCATTGCTGTTTCTCGCTAGGCGCCCAAGCGACCTCGCAGTCACCAGCGTTGAGCTGCACGTCGAAGGCGAGCAGCCAAGCAGAAGAGGGATGGGTAATGCCCTTGCACGTTGCGGTGTATTCGAGCTGCATGAGCACGCCTTCGTCGTCGTCGTCTGATCCGTTCCTTCCTCGTGCCTTTCCTTTGGCAGTATCGCTGTTAATGATGACACAGCTCATCTCGCCCTGGACCTCTTTAAAGCCTGCGCGACGCCTGTTGTCGCTCGTCGTTGGCACGTCATCCGAACGCACGGACCACCGGATGACGAGAGACTCCGTGGTAGGAAATGTCCCGCTGGTGCAAGTCCAATCGCTCCCACTGCCAGAGGAGTCGCTGGATTCATCATCCGCAAAGTGTTGATAAGACGATCTGCGTGAAAGACTGCGTTTCTGTCCAGTAGGATTGAGCTCGGGTACACAGTTAATGTGCCAATCGTCATTGGGGATGGATGCCAGGGATGCTGCGGAAGATGATAGGGAGTTCGGGTGAGGGTAGACTTTTGCGGATAGGTAGTTGTTGAGACAGCGAGGCACGGGAATGTCGAGCTACAGTACGAGTTAGTCGAAGGAATTACTGGAAATATATTATCAACGAACAAGATACGGGTATTGTGGTGGTTTGGCAACCAGCGGTGCCCAAACCTCGATAGCGGCCATGAATTGTAGTTGGCTCAAGCCGGAACGTCTCCCATACGAGCCGTCGTAAGACCGGGTGCTGAGGGGGAGCTCTCGCGGGAGGACGTAGCACACCTGATACTGGTTGACTGTGATGTCACCGACGTATTTCGGTTCCAGTAGCTCGATCTTTGGGGTAGAAATCGACGGGGACACGGAGGAACGGACACTGTCAAACAAGGACAGATAGGGCTCATTAGACCGGGTAGGCAGGCTGAGTGCCCTAGCTGTCCTCCTGAGCATGTGATGCGTGAAATTGTACGGGACATTGTTCTGGTCCAGCGGATGAATGTACGACTGAAGAATCTTCAGATTCTCCTCTGTAAACGAAATAAGTTGAGTAATGAGGTCGTGTCTTCAACAGACGAAAGAAAGCCGTTTGCACGTGTTGAACCGTGTAAGCAGAGTGACCTCTACTTGTCGACAGGGAGCTTGTTCTGCGTTCGTGTTATGTCAGAAAGTGGTTTGTCCATTGCTGACAGTACTCATTCAAATAGCACCAAGCGACACGGCGGTACAGAGAATTGCTGACGCTATGCAACGAATCACGTACCCGGAAAGAGTGGGATAATAGCTCCAGGTGCACATGCGCCCGCAGGTATCGAAATCTGCCAGATAAGACGCGTTCAGTCCGATGAAAGCGCGTTTGACACGACGGACGACACGCACTCGAAGGAACATCTTTACGGACGCCGCCCCGTTTTGGTCAACATTCTTGTCCGCTTTTACTTCGACCACCAGCCTTTGAACGATGTTGATCCTAGATTGTGAGCTCGAGCTTGTGGTTGCAGTGGACCTCGAAGGGCTTGAAGCCCTCGAATAGCGCGTCGACGCGGACATGCCTGATCGCGGTTCGTCGTGACTTGTCGTTCCAGCAACAGGATTCAAGATGAAGCAGTATGATACAGTGTCCTATGCACAGAGAAAGCCGGGATTATGTTAACCTTGAGGCGAAGCGTCGGTGAGTGTTGCGGTACACGTCGTACTGGCAGTTGGGCAAGTTGTTTAAATTGTATGCTGAGCGCCGCCTGTATTTGGTTCAACGCCTTGAGCCAGGTTCACTATTCCGGTCTTTACTGTCATTTGTCTTCATGGCCTGACAAGCATTTTCGTTGGTTAAATACATATATTTTCGCAAGTCGACGAGCCAGAGATGCAAAGCATCTGAGACATGCAATACACCGATCCCATTTCACTGGCAAACAGGAGCTTTCGGGCAGCATCCCGGGGTCCCCGCCGTTGCAGGCGCTGAGCAGCAAGCCTCAGAGAAGAGGGCCAAACATCAATGCATCAACGTAGAGTCATATCGGACTCGATTATATGAATGTAACTGAACTTCAAACTACATAATAGCGCCATAATAGACGCATTTACTCGCACTGCTCGGTAATTGGGCTGAGCTGAGGTCGGTGTGAGGTTTCCGGGGTCCTGGGCTGTGAGCTCATGATCGTGCAAGCCTGCCGCGGGGCGCGACCCTTGTCCAGAACGTCTACCTCGCCCATTCCATCATGTTCTTACCCACAGTAGAGAACATCGAGGCTTATCTTCAGTACGTCGAGGAGGTCGTCGTAAGTGCCGTCTCCCAGACTGCGCCCGACATGCAGAGCGTGAGGCAGGTCATGCAACGGCTCCAGGAGGATCTCGCACGCTTCTGGCCATCGTCCCTCCCGCAGCTGCCAGAGATCAAGCTGGGAAACCTAGGACCGTTTGAGGTGCCGCCGCCGCCACCACCTCCTCCGCCGCCGAGAGGATACTTCGAGAGATCAGCGGACTGGGTCGCCGCACATCCGTGGAAGACTGCTGGAATCGGCATCGGCATCGTGGGAGCAGGGTTACTCGTCGGCTATGGCGGCATCTACTATGCTGGATCGTCAAGGGTGAGGCGACCAAGGACGAACGATGCCGCCCAAGACGGTGAAAGAAGACAGGTTGTAGGTGAGTATCGGGTAATCATGTCTTTCGTGAACCCTGTCTGAAGCTTCATCGTGCTACAGCTGTATTGGGCGGTGATACGCCACTGGGGCTTGCTCTTGTGCTGGATCTTGAGAAGAGCGGCTACATCGTTATTACTAGCGTGTCTACTCCTGAAGCCGTCGAAGAGATAGAGCAACAATCTCATGGATATGTTCGCGCTATCGTCCTTGACCCTAGCGAGGTACGCTCCGCTTTTTTGCGCTGGTTTTATCTGAATTGACAGCACTTATCGCACCACAGCCGGAGACTATCCCCTACTTCTTCCGTTCTCTATCATCTACCATGAACCGCCGCTTCCCCCTCAACACAACCGGTGATCCCCATAGTAATCCCTCTACACAGATCTACCTGCACTCTATCATTTCACTACTCACACTTCCGTCCACGACACCATCTCCGCCCCCTGGTCCCCTAGAAAATCTCGGAATGCAAGACATGTACCCTGCTTACCTCCAAGCGACACACTTCACCCCACTGCAGGTCATCCAAGGCCTTCTTCCCCTCTTGCGCACATTCCCTGCCCGTGCACGTGACGCCGCAGCAAACAACACGCCAAAGAAGAGCGTCATCTTCTGCCTTCCCGCGACGGACGCACGCGTTGGCCTACCGTTTGCAGGCGCGCAGGCGATGAGTGCTGCCGCGACACTGCGTGGTGCCGAGGTCCTGCGGCGCGAAATACGGCTCGCGGCTCTCATGGACGAGACGCAGGCCATGAAACACATTAAGGTCGTCACCGTTGACGTTGGCAGCTTCGGTGTTACCACTAGTCAAGTTGAGAAGTCGCTTGCACCGGAGCATGCCATGATCGATTGGACCGTGAGCGAGAAGGCGGCGTACGGCGACGCGTTTGCGTCAGCCCTTGCCGGTCAAATGCATCACACCTCGAGGCGAACACCGACAGACGTCTCCAAGTTTGTACGCACCGTCGTCGACGTTGTCAGCGGCGGGCGCACAGCGCCACGGCACAATATCGAAGCTGTCGATTTCGTCCTAGGCCGTATCCGGGAACTCATCCATGGCAACCGAGTCGTCGTCGGTGCTGGAGGTGCGCCTTGCATCTGCCCAGATATATATAGAGAGCTGATATAGATCGTTTTGTTGCAGCTCGTACATACGCGCTGGCTTCAAATCTCCCTGCACTGATACTTGACGCGCTGCTCAACCTTCCTGCGCTTCTCATCTCGGCGCGCAACGCTCTGCTTCCCGTCCCTCCCCGCCTGCCGTACCCGCCCCCTGTACCGCCCACGTCTGCCACATCTGCCGCAGCCCCTGCGGTCGCACCGGCATCAACTCAGGAGAAAGCCAAACATCAGGAGGAAGCTCATCTCGACTCCGGCGACGAGGCCCTCTCAGAGACAGGCTCGGATGCCGACGTCGAGAGCGGCGCCGAGGGCTCCGGTGTCAGCGAGAGCTGGATCAGCCTCAAGAAGGATGGCGAGCACTAAGCCTTTTTATTTGAAGTTGGGGTGCGTGTAAGTTCTTAGTTTAAAACTACATCACTATGTTTTAGTCGAGTGATTTACTTAGGTGGAGATGTATTGTGTAGTGACGAAAGAACGGACTCTTGTTGTACAAAAGTCACTATTGGTACATATGATGTATTGTACTTGCTGCAAATAGTAACTCCCCTTCTCTTATGTTTAAAGGCATGGTTTTGAGACTGGCATCGACTGCTCGCTACATGGCCAAGTACCAGAAAAGTTGTATGGTTTCCGATCACTTGCAAGCATTCATGGGTTCCTAGCGCTTTGTAAAACGAGTTGTCAACAGATATCCATTGAACCGCATTGGAACATGCTCACCTTCATAGAAGATTTGTCCCAGTGGACATTCAGCTGCACTACATGCCGCATGCAGTCATGGCCGGTGTCGTTATATTATTCCCTGCGAGTATATGGGCTCGGCATGTCCGACGCAAGAGTCCTCCTTACCACTATTGAAGCAACCTTCGATATTTGTATGTAAGTCTCCTACTCTCTCGCGTCACGCTTGGCCTGTTCTACTTCAATCGCCTCGAGGAACTCTTTTGGGACGCTTGTCTGCCCGAGCGCACACTGCGCGATGTAGCCGGTGCGGAAGGCTTGGTAGAGCGTATCGCTAGGGCGGGGTCGCGGGTAATACGGGTCGTTGGCAAAGAACGAGCTGACAAGCATCTCAACAACCTCGACCCCTGTGCCTTCTAGCCGCCGCATCTGAGTCGAGTCGAACGCTGAGTCAATCGTACAAAGAATCCGGGCATAGGAGCGTACCTGGTTGAAGTCAATGACCTGGAACGTCACCCCATGGTACCCATCGCCACCCATGACGAACTCGATATCCCGCGCGTCGTACCCTAAACGCCAATGTATGTGCCCGAGCACCTCGCCCATGCCCCTTGCGACGTCGTTAAGGGGCATGAGCCGCGATTCAAAGCGCTGCTCGCGGCACAGCGTTGTATACCGCGCGACGTCGAGTAGGAAGTTTGTCGTACTAAAAACATGCTTGGTTTGAGGACCTTGCTAAGGTAGAGTCGGCAGAGACTGGAGTAGGGCGCGCTCCGTGCCTCGGTGATGCGAGAGTAGAATTGCACACGGATGACGTTTCCGATGTCCGCGGGGAGAGTATGCACGCGGTCCATCGCATACGCAGAGCGTGGGACGCCTACAGACTCGAAATATTGTCCGGAGAGGTGAAAATGTATATTCGTGGAAAGCTCGAGGTAGTCCTGATTTGTGATGCCATAGAAGCCGAGTGGCCGCGGGACAGCAAATGTGAACTTCTGTGGGTAGGATGTGAAGAGCGCGTTGTGAGCTGTGTATTCCGCCTTGAGTTCTTGTGCCTGCTCTTCGAAATGTACGATCTTGAAGACCAACGGTCCGCCGCGGTGTGCACAAACAGTGGCGAAGCTGCCCGCGCCGACGCGGACCAGACCTGTGGGTTCGTCTTCGACGTTGACTGTACCTGCACCTACACAGCACAATAATGAGCATGTAACCAATGCATAGAATTCTTTCTTTATTACTGCGCGGACATTCAGGCCAGATCCCGGACATAATGGCTGGCGTTCAGTAACTTCAGTTCAACCAAGTCACGGCCATGGCACAATCTTTGGCGTCTATAAGAACTCCCACGCCACATGAGTCATACTAGCACTTACGAACTTTGGGTCTTCTTAGACCCAGTCACCCATAGTTCATCTGCATGTCCGTGGCAGTCGTCGAGTGTATCTTATGCTCACTGTACACGGTTAAACGTGAGGAATGCAAACATATCTACAGTAAGAATGACACAAAAAGCATATATGATAAGAGGGCGAAATTGTGCGGACAGAGGCAGAGGCGAAGAAGGCCGCAACGGCTTCAAACCTGACGTTCCTGACGTTTCATCAATCGATGCAGGATTATGGCTCTTTCGAAAGCGGTGAGAGTTCGGCCATTGTGAACGAAATATTGCTCCCAAGCTTGCGCTGGGAGAGCAGCAAGCATTTCCAGCTTCTGAAGAGTATTCACGCCAGCGTCCACGAAGAAGCCAAAGAGGTAGCCAAATCCCGCCTCGCTGAGGAACTCCTGCAGTTCATGAGTGTTGCCAAGCGCTGTGTCAGGTGCGACGCAGCCATCGTTGGCACCTGCGGGAGGTTCCTCCGGGGCAAGCACGCCCCGGACTGGCGGTGGGACAGAGGCGGTGGAGGGGTCGGAATTGCCACTAGCAGCGTCGTGGTCCGCAAAACGGACATGTGGCACACCAGACTGTGCACTGGTAGTCGCCCGCATGGAATATGACCGCGGTGTCTGGGAAGATTCGGCAGAGTTTGTCGTCTCTCTCGCTGGTGTTGTGACGGCACCAGGCGTACTATCCGTATTCGAGCTGGAAGCAGCAGCAGAGCGAACTGGAGAAGCAGCAGGCTTGACAACGGTGAATGTCCTCGTTGCGGAATCCCTAGCAATCGGCTCGGTCACGTCGATCTCCATATCATTCGTAGTGGTCTCGCGCTGCGCCACGACGTTAACAGATTTGCGCACCGGCAGGCTACCCACCGATGTCGATGTCGATGTCGCCCCTGTCTTTGTACCAGAGTGCTTCGTTTGCTTTTGGGAACTTGACGCGGCTCGAACTTGTGTGGCATAGGATGGGTCGAAGCCGGCAGCCTTGGACTTCCTCAAGTGCGTGTGGCTCATGTCTGTCGACCGGGAGGTCGAAGTGTCATCTGTGGCTGACGTGTCCTTGGACAACGCCACGACCACTGGCGTAGAAGGGTCCTCAGATCGAAGGCGGCGTGTCTCGAACGATTCAGGAATGTCGCCTGATAATGCGATCAGCGCGCTATGACCCAGGGTCGAAAACTGACCACTACTCACCGTCTGCCTTTCTTTTACTTTTATTAGGAGCCAGAATAGCCATATCATGCTGCAGATTCTTCCGGAGCAAGGTCTCAGCTGGCTGCTTCAGGCTTCCATTCAGTGCCCCTCGGGAGCGAGTCGCTGGTCGGTGATCTTGCGTTCTTTCAGAAAACTTGACCGTGCCATGCTGAATGGGCTTCGACTTACCGTTATCGCCAGCGTGCTCATTCGAGAACACGTTTTGTCCCCGTACGCGGCTCGCCGTACTTCGTAGACATCTCTATCCTGTCACGTGCATCTTCGGCAGCAAAGGGGGCATCACCCTGCGCAGAAGTAGAGCTCTTGTCACCCCTCTCGCTGCCTTCGTCGCCGATTACCTTGCCGCCTTCTCTCTTATTACCCGCCTTGCCGCCTCGCCTCCTACCACCACCACTCTTGCCACCCCTCTTGTTACCACGGCTCCTTTTACCGCTCTCCTCTTTACCGCTCTCCTTCCCCTCGCCCTCCTCACCACACCTCGTTCCGCCATCTTCTTTCGCGCCGCCCACAGATATCAGGGACTGCTCAGTGAGGTTAGCCACAAATTGCGTACTGATCAAGTCGCCCCTTACTGAGGCGTCTTTGTTGGCAGCCCCCCTGCCAATCTGACCCGCCTCCTCCATCGGCTGAGACGCGTGTTCAGCAAGATCCCTGTCAAGCTGGAGATGATTCCCTTCGCTTTCTCGAGCACCGTCGATATTGTCGTCTTGCCGGTTCCCATGCTTTGCCTCTTCCTCCTTGTCGCCAACGCGGTTGCTCGCGTCTGACTCTTCGATGTGCACCTCAGCTGTCTACCCTGCCGCATTCTCATCTTCAGAGTCAGCAAATACAATTGGCACACCATAGTGAGTCATGCTCTCGATCTCTGGCCCACCGTTATACTCGATATTGCCGGCGCGGTCACCCTCACCTATGCTCTCTCTCGCTACTGGTCTCCCCATTATCGTCGCGGCCACCGTCCACGTTGGAGCTGCCATTCTCATCTTTGCTTCCGCCCCGATCCTCGCTTCTGTCCCGATCCTCGCTTCTGTCCCGATCCTCGCTTCTGTCCCGATCCTCGCTCTCGTCTTCGTCATCGCTGCTTGAGTCTTTCTCCTGGCTGCTATTAGAGCTGACATCCTTCTGGCTGATTGTATCACTTTCCTCTTCCTCATCCTCGCTGCCGCCACGATTGTTCCTTCCTTCGCCGTTTTCACTGCTCGGGTTGTTTTCGTCGACATGCTTCCCTCTCCCTTCGCTATCTGTTGAATCCGCCTTCGTAATAACGCTCCGTTAGATCGTTCGAGCTCGCTCAGATTAAAGAAATTGAGCGATTTACCTCACTGCTTTCGTCACTATTTGCCCGTGCTGCTGCTTTATACCCCTTTGTCCTGTTCGTCCGCTTTATCTCGGCTCGCTTTCTCTTGGCGTCGGCCTCATGGGTGCGTTTCATAGCCATGTGCCAAACCCAGTGACCTTGGTACTCTTGCAACCAAGGAAGCTCTTCGATAGCCTACAAAAATGGTATAAAATAAGGTAAAGATCATTGTCCCCCACCAAACAGTTGTAAAATACTGCTTGCCTCCTGTAGCAGTCTCTCTCTGAGGTTTGCCGCATTCTGGAGGTAGGTGGTACCTGGTAACAATCTGGTTCTGAACTTCGCGCGAAGATCCTGAGGTGGATCCAGCACCCAAGGTCACAAAAAGCATCCATGTAATTGAAGTAATGCTCACAATTATGGCACGCTGTCTCCACTCCTCTAACCCGATGTTTCGCAGGCTACGATATTTCGACGGGCACGGTGGAGGGGGAATTGAGTTTGCATTTCTATGGTCATAGATGTATCCTGCCTGATACTGGTTGTTGAGTTGAGGCTGGTTCAGCAGAGAAACAATTGGAGTAGGGTCCTGCGACCCGCGTGCATTGCGAAGGGCCTTCGCAGGGGAACCAGCAGTTCGAGGCATCTGTGATCATGATCAACCAGAAGACAGAGATATCGTCAAGATATACATACTCTGGATTCTGGCGGTGTAATTTGGGGGAGGATGGAGGGGGACAGAGCTAAGTTTGGTGCATACGCACCGTCCTTCCTCTGGGCGTTTAATCATTGCGCACGACGGAACACTGCTTGAGTGTTTTCATGTTGCCAAGGAGGTTGTCGATGATATTATCCAATAACTCTTGAGGCAGCGTACGTCTCGGTGAGGGGGGAACCTCGCTTGTGACCATCGAGAAGTATCTTCACCAGCTCCTGTTCATCCGGCCATCACGAGCAAGGTAGTGCCAGATAGGCTGACGAGTACCATCACAAGTATATATCGAGTCCCAAGTCCCAAGTCTCATGACGGTCACAAAGATAATTTAGTTCCGTAATAGGTACAGTATGTGCTTATAATATAGTACGAGGTACATCATTCCAATATATAATGAATAAAGATCGCCGTAAGATATTGTCCGTAGTTGTTTTGTCTTCCGCATCATGCAGACGACCCGCCTCGTTTCCTCATCCGCGGCGAAGGTGTCTTGATAAGCACCTCGACCTGCATCCTTGAGCTCGCCCCCCGAGAGGGAGTTCGTGTTCTTGGAGAGTCTTCCAGGAGGCCTTGTGCATTTTCAACGTCGGCATCGTCCCCGGGCCGCGTGACAATCTCCTGCGTCCTCTTCAGCTCTTGAGAACTCTGCAGCGAGTAGACGTTCTGCATGCGCTGAACTGGCCCCCCTGTGCGAGGCTCGACCTCCTCTAGCTCAACTGTATCCGGCTCCTCTATCGGCAACACGATAGCGTAATTCACGGGCTTGCGCGTTCGCATCGACCTCCGTGGTTCGCGCTTTGCCTCTTCGACCTTCTGCATGCTGACGACTTCTACTTCAGTTTCATCGACGACGTCCTGGTCGAGCTGCGAATAGTCCACTTCCTCCGCAACTTCTCCCTCAGAGTTTTTCAAGAGTGGTTCGCTAGTCTCGTCGTTATCGTCTCCATGCTTGCGCTTGCGCTGAACTGGGCTCCCCCCGTGGGGCCCAATCTCCCCTGGCACAACTGCATCCGGCTCCTCTATCGGTAACACGATAGCGTAGTTCACGGGCTTGCGCGCCCTCATCGATCTCCGTGGTTCGTGCTTTATCTCTTGCACGCGAACGACTTCTACTTCAGCTTCATCGGCGACGTCCTGGTCGAGCTGCGAATAGTCCACTTCCTCCGCAACTTCGCCCTCAGAATCTCGTAAGAGAAACTCGCTAGCCTCGTCGCTATCGTCTGCACGCTTGCGCTTCTTGGAGGCAGCGGCAGGAGTGGGTGTCTCACCCGTGTTCTCAGGGGTCTTCTTTGTCTTCGTCTTGCCTTTAAGCTTCGATTTACCGCGCTCAGCGACATGACAGACTTCAACTGTAATCTTGGCTTGCAAGAGGACATCAATCCAGAGCTGTCCAGTCAGGAGGCGTCAATGTGCAGATCGCACTGAAAACTTAGAAAATACCTCACTTTCTGGTTCTCCTGTAGATTATCGCCAGGCCCCTTTACTTCGACAAACTTGCACAATTTCTCCGTCGGATGCCAGAGGAACAGGTCAGGCAGCCCGCCGGTGCGATTCGCGTAATCTTCAAGCAGGGTCCGGCAGATGACAGAAAGACAGATGGGTTTGAAGCACTGTAAAACATAGCTCAGCCAGCCGTTTCCGCAGGACACTTTTCGACTTACCTCCATAATCTCCACAAAAGCTTCCTTTTGGAGCAGCTCCCATTGCACGCCTATGCAAAACGTCTTTTTCTTCATATGCGTATCCCACGTCCGAAGGAGTACTTCTAATCCTTTCCCGGTTTCGATGTCCTTCAGCCGTGCATCAGCAAGTGTACGTCGGGCAAGGTAGAACGAGTCCTCCGCAATATCGAGCGGTGCAGATTGGTACGGCGTCTCGAACGCACCAGAAACAGGTGCAAAGATGATGTCCCAGAAGAGTAGGCCGAATAGCGTGGTCACGACGCGGCCTTCAGAGTGTAAGCTACACAAATGTGGATTAATTAAGGAGAAGAAAAAGGGGAGCCGGCTGACCCTTTATAGCCCTGTGCCTCGTAGTGCTGAAGCGCGAACATCTCCACGCTGACCTCTTCACGATCTCGTCCTCGCCAGACGGTCTTGCCTGTGGAACTCTTCGGCTGGACACAGAATAATAACTTGAGCAGGCGAACAGGCATAAGCAACAACCGACCTTCGCATCTAACACAGGCACCAGTTTTTCAACGGGAGCGACAGCAGCAAACATGAAGGGTAACTTCATCTGCTTTTTATCCTCCCTTTCGACCTTCCGCCGCTTGTTCACCCCACTCCCGCGACTCTTCGCTACCTTGGCAGATGCAATGGGATCCCCAGCCGCGTACAAAAGCGTATTTATGCGCTTGCCTTCGATATAGACCTCTACTGGCTTCCTCTGCGCCGGATCATCAATCTCGACGAAGTTGATATCTGACACGCCGAGCTGGCGGAGCCTCTTCTGAAGCTTGAACAATCTGCGCCGGAGCGCCGGGCGGTGCACTTTAACAATCTTAATAAGCACAGTTTCCCCTAGACATGAAATTATTAAAGACTCGCCGACATGCGTATCCTCGTCCTTCAGGGCTTCGAACACAGCATGCCACGCGCGTCGAGTCGTTTCCTCGTCCTTCTCGCAGTGGACCATGAGAATCAACGCGCGCCGTTCATGCCAACGTCCCCTACGGCCACGACGGAAAGCTCGCTGTGAAAGAAGCATTCCGAGTATTTTGAGCTCGCCCTCGTGGTCTTTGAGAATCGACAATGCGTGGACGCCTTTGCAGACGATGCGTGTCAGAATATGGCCTATCGATGGGTGTATGTGCAAGTACGCGCGAGGGTGAGTATAAGTGACTGCACATCAACGCAGGAGAGCTACGCACCGTAGTGGAACCGACTGACCCACTTCTCTGGCTCGGCGTTCGCACTCTCGAGTTCAATTCGCTCTTTAATGACATCATCTTCATCCTTGTTGTTGTTCGATTTCTCAGGGGGGCCAAGACCGACTAGCCGATCTCTAGCGAAGGCGTCCCAGGCTTCCTCAATCTTGACGGCGGGTCCCTCGGCATCTTGCTCCTCGCCGTCCGCCTGCTCGTCCATCTTCGCTTCAACTTCATCTCCAGCTTCCACTTCGTCGCCTCCCTCTAATTCTCTATTCGCCCTTTCCAACTCGTCTTTCACCTCAGGGATTTGCAGCCACTCAGGCCAAACCTCTTCAAAAATTTTCTTCACTTCCCTCGCCCCGCGCACTCGCGCATTATCATTGACCTCCTCATTGATAGCTGGGAAAACATCTTCGTCTGCTATGGATGTAGAGGCAGCCGACGTAACACTGAGCCGCCCCTTCTCTGGCGAAACCGACACTGTAACGCCGGCCGGCGTCGTTCGTCCGACCGCTGACAGTACAGATCCCGTGTGTGCTCGCTCCTTGCCTTTCCTTGCTATGGACGGCGGCACGACGCGGCGGGCACCTGACGAGGACGTTGTGCCGAGAATCTCATCAACGCGTGCCTCAAGTTCGAGAGCCCGTTCGTAGCGGAGCAATGCGTCGCGAACCGGCCAGAGCTTGTACTGGGTGCGTGCCCAGGAGGGGCCTAAAGGTGGTGACGGGGAGGTAGAAGGGCAGGCCGACGAAGAGCCAAGGGTCGATGTCGATGTCGATACCGAAGGGAGTGTTGAGGAATTCGAGGAGGGTATAGATGGGTTGATGGGTATATGGGCTTGTTCTCCAGCCTGGTGGGCGTAGGACCATTTCTTTGCGCGAGCAAGTATAGATGGCGTGAGCAGCGGTGTTGGGACCGTACTTCGAAAGTAGACAAGATTGACCCGTCTGAAAAGACGGACGATGTCTTCATTGAGTTTAATGCAAGCGACTGAGTATTTACAGTCAGTAAAAGCGTGAGTATCGCCTTCTGAGAGGCTTACCGATCTTTTCTAGGACCAGCTCTCTGAGCCGGTCTTGTGTAGTCTTCCGTTGGGCGCCCTTCGTTGCTCCGGTGAAGCTATGAATAAGTGTCTGATGCGACATCTTCTTAGCAGGGCTATGCGAATCAATAAAACCATGCAAGGTCCTCTGGTGCATGCCTAGCTCCTCCGATTTGACTTTGCCTTTGTCTGGTATCGCAAAGGTAGGAAAAAACAAAGTCTGCTGAGTGGATGTTGAAAAGAGGAGCGAGTCAATGAGTGCGTCCCTCTGCGCTCAAGAAGTTAGCTTCCATGTGCGCGGCATTTGAGTGGTCTGAATAGTGCTCCTGACGCATAGGCGTGAGATGCATGTTAAAAAGAACTCACACTGTTCCCCTTCGGTTTGGCCTTCATTTGCTTCGTCAAGTCCTTCAATTCGTCGATATGAAGGCAGTCCAGCAGCTCAAATAAGTCCGCATGAGTCTCATCATGAGCGAAAATATCGTAACTGGGTCTTGCAGGCTCTTCTTGACCTGGCCCACTAGCTAATTCGACTCTTCGACTGTCTTTGTCCTCTTCGTCCTCTTCGTCGTGCGTTAAGTCAATGACTTCTGGCCCGGGATCGTGTATGTTCGGTTTAACGTCCTCAGCAACCTCGCCGAACAATTTGGCTCGAGTATTTTTGCAAAGTTCCTTCATGGCCTCACGTATGCCGTCAGACCCTAGTTCGCTTTCATACTTGAGATCCGCGAACTTGATCCATTTGTCGGTCTTGCGGAGAGATAGGCGGACGAGGAGGTACTTGGCAGCGTCTAAAAATATGATTTAACTATAAATGTCAGTGCATATGGAGAGAGCATACAAGAAAATTCGTTGTAGTTCATAAAAGCCGTGAGCTCATAGTGGTCAAATAGCTCCGGCTCTGTATCGACGACAGTCTGCAGCATCTCTGGCGAGAGAGGACTTTATGGTGAGAGCCTCGAGAATAGATTAAATTGAACGCACCCTCAAAGAGTTGAACATACATAGATTTTTTGTCTGTACTGCCCCCTCCTATGCTACTATCGTTCGCGCCAAGCGCTTCAGAGCCAGAGTCGTAGGTTAAGGAACTGTCAAGACCATCATGGCCAAAGACGAGGTTCCCGACGTGACTATGTGAAGGAGAGGCAAGTGCCATATGAGATGGTGGGGACTGAGGGGAGGGTGTGTTAAGAACGTGAATACTCGCCCCGAGTTCGCTACCCGTGTCGCGGTCGCGTCACGTCCAATTAAACGCGCCTCAGTTTTATTGTTATAGTTGATACTCTTCTATCTTTCACTGGAGAGGGCGCTATAGCCAAGTGGTTAAGGCGATTGATTAGAAATCAATTCCCGTTTCGGGGCGCAGGTTCGAATCCTGCTGGCGTCGTATCAATTTTGCTTCTTCTGGAGAGTGAAGTAAGGCTCCAATCGTTTTGTTTGTTTACTGTGTATAAACGTTTATACGCAGTAAACATACAGTTTCCTCTTATTGTTTGTAAAAGGTCTTAGTGTTGTACATTCATAGTCTTGCTAACAGACTTGACCTTTATTGGGCTGAAGAGTGCATCGCACCGCCTGTGCATCGTCCTCGGGCGGCCTCTTTGAACCTCCAAGCCCGGTGCACTGTATCAAGCACCTATGCCCTGAGACTTACTGGGAGTAATGGTAGTCATGATCCTAACTTGTATTGAGCACAGTCTGAAGGCGAGCATTATAAATATAATATAATGTGTATTTATTGACTGCTCCTCTACATATAGTCTACTGTGGGCACTGGCAGCCTGCCTGTGAGAGTGCGGTATGCGGGAATGTTGTGAGCCCATACTTCATTCAAGAGGAACAATATTAATATTAGTTCAACCTCATTGAGCGATGACAGTACCACATGTGATACTAAGACAGATTGACTCTAAAAAAGGGCTATTAGTGATGTGGACTTGCGTCAACACACCACGAAGGATACTTCGTGGATCTAACTAGAAGGCGGCGCCGACGAGGTCTGGCGACTACTGTGTTAGCTTATTCAGCTAGCCCAATTAACCAAGTGTATTAGCAATCTGTACTACGATACAAGTAAAGGCTTACCTAGCCCAATTAACCAAGAGGTTGAGATGGGGCTAGGTAGCGACAAAGGGTAGCCTTATATACTAGTCAGGCTGCGCACGGACCAGGCTTTACATAAGCGACTGGTGCTACGGCGACTGCTAGTGTCTAGGGGACTTAGGCGGGGAAACGAGGGCCGGTGTGTCATACCATATGACGTTGTCGGGCCGACGGAGATAAGAAGTCCGTTGCCGATCGGACTCGGAGGTAGCCGGGGGCCGGTGTGTCATGTTGTATGACGTTGCCGGGCCGACGGAGATCGGATGTCTGTTGCTGATCGGAGTGCGGCTGTTTCCGAGGAAGCGTGATGCGGCGATGAGGCGGCGGCGATGCAGGCGCGTCTGATGCGCTGATGCGTGCCCGTCGGTGATGCGTTTTCAAGGTGTTAGCGCTCGGCTAGGACTTGTAAACTGGCGCCTATGCGCCGACGACGTTTGGAGGGTCGTATAAACGTGAAATAAATCGGAGAAAATGGGAATAAAATAGGAGGCTGGGGCTACGCCCACGACATTACCCCCCCCCTACAATCGAGACTCCTGGCGAGAAGATATGGCCTGTATTCTGCCCGTTTCCCACTCGAATTCTGCCGCTTTAGGATTAGTGGCGAGTGTAGAGATAGGATCGGTGTGTTCATAGATAGGCTTGAAGCAACTGTGGAGTTCGCTGAAGGAGGTGGTGGAGATCTGTCGTGGTGCCGATGGATTCTGTTTGTGGAAGTCGCGTATGCGTTCTTCAGCATGTACGTCTTTGGCGGGAATCCATTCGTCGGCACCTTGTCCGTATCCTTTCCATCTGATGAGATACTGGAGCTGTCTGCGATAGACGCGTGAGTCCAGAATCTTTTCGACTTCATATTCTTCTTCGTTGTCGACTATCACTGG